CTAAAGAAAGGACTGTTTTGGGAGACCATGAATTACCTCACTCTTGACAGGAATATTCCCAAGGAATGTCATATATTGGGGCGGGTGGGAGGCTTAACTAGATCAATGCTTCTCAGACTTTAATTGCATATGAATCACCAGGGACTTATCAAATATGCAAATTCTGATTCAGTAGTTCCGGGATGGGGGCTGAGAGACTGAATTTCTAACAAGCTCCAAAGTAATGCCTATCATGCTGGTATGTGGACCACACTCTGAGAACCAAGGAACTAGATACTTTTAAGATCACTTCTCACTACTGAGAGTCTACAATTCTCATCGAAAAATGCACTTCAGGAACCTAGAAAGCAGTTATATCTTGGACTTTCCTTATAAAAATGTCAGTGTTTGAGGGCATAAAGGAAGCAGGAGCATGCTTGGAAATGGAAGCAGGAGTACTCCAAAACCCAGTCAGTAAATGCATGTTTTAAAAGAACTGTTCTAGGGATGCCTGGGTGGCTCAGTTGGTTGAGTGTCTGCCTTCGGCTCAGGTCATGATCCTGGGATTGAGACCCTCATCGGGCTCCTTGCTCAGCAGGGAGCCTGCTTCTCCTTCTCCCACTCCCTCTGCTTGTGTTCCCTCTCTCGCTGTGTCTCTCTCTGTCAAATAAATAAAATCTTTAAAAAAATAAAAAATAAAAAAATAAAAGAACTGTTCTAAAGAAAGATTGTTGATAAATACTTGCACATGACTACATTTAATTATCTACTTTCACTAGAAACACCAATAATTTTTAATATTGGAATTAATGGCATGTATTTCTTCAATTTTAATAATTCAATTCTATATTGAAGTCAAAACTCTGTCTAGTTTATTCAACAAAAGTTCTTCGTAATTATTCATCCACCTCAAAGTCTTTCCATGTACACACTTTGCTTTATTTTTCTCTTACTTCCTTTTCTGTAGATCAGAGTCTTCCAAATGGAATTATAGACGTCCCTCAAGATATTTGTCTTCTCAACCATTGGGAAGGCCATGCAAATAGCTTTATCCTGGGCTCCTGAGAGAAAGACCCAACTAGATTGGCATTTAGGCAATCATGATTATTACTCATTGGTCTGGCCTCAGGGTAGTGAGCTCAACCTAGCTGAGTGTCTAGCACCTTGATACCTACTTCAGCAGCTTGCTGCAAGCATGTCCCTTTTCATCATGAGAAAGGGATCTGTGGATTTGCTGAAGGAATTCATGTTCTACATGCTTAATTAGCATAGCATGCCTACCAAAATTTGGCCATAGAAGAACAGATAATGAGAAAGAAAGCCAGGAGCTCCTGGTAGGTGTATCTTCCCCTACATTAAATACTTTTACCCATTTGTGGCAATGTAGATGCATGATAACATCTCTAAAGGACATGTATTTTCTAATTTAGAATTTCAGTATTATTTTGTAACACTTGACATATAAAATCTAGGTAAATTTTAAATATATAGCATCCCCATGAAATTCTAATGGTAAATTTGGAAAGGAAATAAACAAAAGAATTGCTATATTTAAAATCAAATGTTGAAAAATTTTTAATGGTTGTAAAAGTTGTTTCAAAATTTTTATTCTCTACTTGTGCAAATATAATTTTTTGTTGACAGCAGCTATAAATAAATTTGAAAACATCATTGTTAAAATGTTTTGATTAGAATGATATATAAGCTTTCAAACACAAAAACTGAGACAAAAAGTTATATTGATGGAAGTATATTCATATTTCTAAATTTAAGGTTATCTACATTTAATTTTATATCTTTCTTTAAACAATCTATTTTATTTTCTTATCAAAATTCTATCATAGGGAAGATAATGTAATGAATCTCTCTACAGAATTCCGTACATATGGCCCCAAATTTCCCCTAGTTTACTCCAGTTTGCCATACAAATATTGCTATTTTCTATGTTGGGAAACCCTGCAATAGGTAGATTTGCTTCTATAATAGGTTCTTTTACCAAGCATCTTCTACGTAAATCACAGACTAATTAATTACAAGCTAGTGTTAATATATAGTTACTGTTACTCAAAGGAAACAAGTACATATACATAACAACTAAAATTGTTAAGCCTAAGTTACTTCCTTACTCCTCCTATGCAACTTGAAAACATTGGGATATTGTTCTGAAGGGTTAGCAATGTTCTTTTTCTTGACCTGAATGGTTACACAGTGTTCACTTTGTGATAAATCATGGCACACATTGTTTTGTGCCCTTTAGTGTACGTATTTTATTTCATAGTAACAAAAGTTTGAAAATTTTTGTTTTCTAGTACTAAAAAGATATGGTGATTATAGATCTCTGAGTATATTCTTACTTCCTGCTTATACTAGCCTTGGTTTTATTTATCTCCAAGAAAACGTAATAAATGATTAACTTTATCACTCGGCAGTTGGGAGAGGTCATGAAAGGCATAACACTCACTGGATAATTCATAATAGAAACACAGTTTTCTTCAGTTTCTGAATTATCCTGTTTTTATATAAATTAATCAGATGAATCTAATGCTATTCAAACCAACTTAAAGGTGATAAATGGCTCTTTTAATTCATGGTATAAAATACAACACTGATGGGCCTGGAGGTTATTACTATGATGCACAAAGCAGAATAGGGCTAGCCTTTGATAAGAAGAAGATGAATTCTATTACCTGTTTGCATCTTTAGCTTTGGCAAACATTCACTTCTTCTGCATCCCAGAAATTGTGGCAAATAAGGTCCATAAGATAAATTGAGACAATTTCAAAACAAATTACTGAGAGTATGTATATAGTTTGGATGGGAATATTCTGCTTTTGCTGTGAGAATTTAGTTTACCCTATTAGGCATATCAATCAAATGTTTACTCTTCGTTTGTACAGTGCTCCATTTAACACAAATGCCCCATTAATGTGACACTCATTGCCAATGCTCTGCCAAACTGATTTACTTGAACAATAATAAGAAAGGGGTAAATATATTCCTGCTGTAGCCATACCTACCTTTATTAAATATGTGCCATGAGTTTCTTTTGCCTTGCTAGCACACAGTTAGCATCTGTCTGCTGTGAGAATGAAATACCCTAGAGAGCTTGAGGCCAAAACTCGGGCTGAGACATGAAAGGGAAAAAAAGAAAGCTCACCCAGCCATCAACACTCACACATGTGAATTTACAGAGCAGACAGAAGAGCTATTAATCTCAGCCCATTCAACACCATCTCATGTGAGAGTTACACAGTATTATTATACGCTCAACTGGATCACGTGGCTTATTAACATTGACATTTGTTTTTGCTAAGCTTTATTTTTAAAGAAATTATCAATCTAGTCTACATTTCTGCAAACATGAAAGCAAAGGAAGAATTAGCACTACTCAGTCTCATCCTCCACCGAGTCTTATTTGCTTCCTGTAGAGCATATCTCTCACTTCCTTTCTCCTCAATCTCATATGCCTCCTTTCCAATCTTATCCTTTTTCTTCTTTCTCTATAATAGGCTGCGCCCCCCGGTGGTTGGAAGCTTTAAAAAAAAGAGAGAAGGAAGGAAGGAAGGAAGGAAGGAAGGAAGGAAGGAAAGAAGGAAAGAAGGAAGGAAAAGGGAAAAAGAAGAAAGACCTTTCACAGACAAGACTTTTAAGCCTCCACAATTTCACTTTTGGGATGCGTCCAACATGCTCGATGCACGTAGTCACGATCAGGAACCTAACCACAGTTCCCCCCTGCAGTCAATTTCCTATTTTTTTCTATTTAAAAGAGGGGAAAGACACAGATCAGATGAGAAACAGCTTGGTTCTGGCTAGTTGCAAAAAGACAGCAGTTTCTGAGGCTCAAACCGAAGGGCCACTCTGGCCACAGCCGCGTGTGGCGCTGTCCATTCTTTAGTGCTGAATACTACACACTGGGACTTTTGCAACCTGATTCAACCCCTGAGGATTGAGATAGGCTCAGTCAGCCAAGGTAGACTGAATCCATTTTCGGGGTCTGTGTGGGGGTGGGTGGGAGGTGTGGGGGGCCATTTAGACTCTTGCTAATTCTCTTTCCACGAAAAAAAATTCTTCCACAGAGTGACACTGTGCATTTTATGGAAAAGTAATGGCACAGCTTCAGCTCAAAACCAAAGTGAGGAGCTCTACTGAAGAAAAAATCGAAAGTTCAGAGTTAATAAAACCCGCTCTTTCTCTCCCTGAGTTAACACAACAGGGATTGTGTCCCTAGACACCCTTGTTGATGGTTAAAGAAAATAATTTTCTTTTAAAAATCATGTGATTAATCATTTTCAGATAAGCACAGTAAAGGGGGGGTGATACTAGGCTTTGCAATATCTAGAATAGAATTTTAGATATCGTTTGACTAAGTTGAGAAAGTGAGGAGAGGAGGAACTAAACTGGTTTTTTTTTTAGGTGGTTTCAATGTTAGTTAAAAATACATTTTTAAAAGTATTGCTTTAACAATGTCTTCCGGACGTGCTTATTTTCTTAGGCAATTTAGATCAGAATCTGGGCAATAGAAGCTTCCCTCCTCTCTGCTCTACCCGTCTCTGTCCAATTTCAGACTTAAGACCCCTGTTCTTCACAGCAGGTGCTGATATCCACAGGGCTATTATAAGAATTCACCCCCCTCCCTGCCCCCCAACCCATGAGATAATTAAGTAAATGTAAAGAAAACGGACAGGAGGAATCAAAGTGTACTGTAACTTCCAGCCTTTGGTTCTTGGTAGTAATATTCAAATAGGGGCACTTCTCTTTGAGAAGTGAAGGTGTTTCTCATGGCTACAGAATTTACAGTCAGTCAGGGAGCCGACTTAACTGATCCCAGCAAACGGTTCCTTCCTTTCCTTAATCCTTCTCTGCTTATTTTAGCCGCTTCTCCACCCCGCCGGGAATACCATCCAGATCTTAGTCCAGGTAGATCTGACGTCAAGAGATGGCTTTCGTCGATTTGACGTGTAAACACTCATTTCCATTCCGGCTTGGAAGGGCTGGGGCTCCACTCAGCCGGGAGACCAAAGAGCGCTCGCCACCGCCCAGCCTCTCCTCGCGCGCCTCTCTCTTAGCAGAGCCACCGGGAGCGAGAAGTGGTCCAGACTCCGAGGGTGAAAAGGGCTAGTGTTTCTGGCTTTTCTCCTTTCTTGCTTCTTTTCTTGCTTCTTTCCCCCATCTCCTTCCGACTTGTGTGCAAGCGAGTGTGTGAGCCATGGAGCGAAGAGCCTGGACTCTGCAGTGTACTGCTTTCGCTCTCTTTTGCGCTTGGTGTGCACTGAACAGTGTAAAAGCGAAGAGGCAGTTTGTAAATGAATGGGCGGCGGAGATCCCCGGGGGACCGGAGGCAGCTTCGGCCATAGCGAAGGAGCTGGGCTATGACCTTTTGGGTCAGGTAAGAGTTTGCACTTTCCAGAAACTTTCTGGGGCCCACGGGGACTGGCGGGACTGACGCGCGATCTCCCAAGTGGAAGCCCCAGGTCGCACTCTCCTGAGCCCCGTGGCAAAGAGCAGAAGCTTCTGCAGCTCTCGCCCCTGGCGCGCTTGGAGAAAGAAGGCTTGCATTATTTATTGTTTGGGCTGGAAGCAGCCAGGCAGAACGAAGCCGCTGCAGCTGGGTAAAGCTTATTCTTGCTGTCGTCCGCTTTGGCATTTAAATCCATTCCCGCGTGGTTTGGGAGAAAAATCCCTCCACGCTTGTTCGCCGAACTTGAGATGCACGCAGGCTCTTACCAACCAAGCGCCCCCGGGAGAGGCATTGCGCTCTGTCCCCTGGGACTCAGCTGGTCTCTGCGTCAGGAATCGGCTGTTTCCTTTTTTTTTTTTTTCAATATGGCAGCATCAGATCTAAATCCTGATGCAAGGGGTCAAATAGGCTTGGTGATGTCCGCCGGCGGCCTTTCGGGCACACCCAGGGCACTGGAAAAGCGCCAGAGGCCGGGGACTCACGACCCAGAGGCTGGGGGCCCGAGGAGTGGCCTGGGGAGGGGGCGGGAGAAGAGGTGGGTGAAAGACACGGGACCAACTCCCCTCGCCTCTACTAGGAGGTTCGGGTCTTCACCGGGAACTTGCAAAGTCTGAGCTTCACAACTTTGCTGGGTCAGTCCCCCTGAAGGGTCAAGCTGCCGAAATGACTGTGGGGAAAGGTTTTCTTTCCTTCTTGTTATTCAGCCAAATGCCTAATAGCTTCCCCGAGGGTTTCAGCTTGTGATAAAAACTTGCCTGTCCAAGGGAGAGCTGGTTTAATAGATAGCTGGGGGGAGGGTAAGGGCATTAAGGCAATACTAGAGTGACAGCTTAGGTGTGCGATTCCCGGGGGAACCCAAGGGAGTGTGATTTCTAATCTAAGCTTTCCTTTTCCTTGGCTCAGAATCAAGCCCTCGCCCCTTGCCTTGGAACTGTGCCTCAAAGCGGGGGAGGAGGGAGTTGTAAAACATTTTGGCGCGTTTTTTCTGGAGGTGGTTGTAGAGATGCCGCTGAAGTCACGGATGAGTAATCGCCGTGGGCGTTGGCGATTCCATAGATCAAATCCGCTGGGGAATACGCCTCTCCTTGCCAGAGGCTTCATTCCCCAACTTTACGAGCCAAATTGTCTTTAAAATGCCCAGCAGAAAAGTCAATACGCAGATTGACTTCTCCGTGTCCCAGGAGCCGAACAAGACTTTTTGCTTTTGCCCAGATTTTGTTCTGTGTCAGGCTCTGTGTTAGGGGCTGAGGAATAATAGGAGGAAAAGCAACTTTCAAGGAATCAAGAATCTAGAGGAGACTGGTTTAGCAACAAACAATTGGAATTGCATGTAATTGCTGTAATAGAAATTGCACCTGGATTCTCAATATTTGTTGATTGAGGGATTGAAGAGGGACATGAATTGAGGAGTGAAAAAAAGACAGCCCAGGGGAGGAAACATTTGCCGAGGGTTTAGGAAGAAGAGTCAAGTTTGCCAGGAGAACATGGTGAGATTGTGAAGGCACTCAAGGCATAGAAAACAGATGGTAGGAAACAAAGAAGATACAAAGAAAGCAGCTTAGAAGAAACTGCAAGGAATTGTTGGGATCTGAGGAGAGTGTGAGTAGTAGGTGGAATTGCAATGGTAGCTACTGTGGGCATCATGGAAATCTTGTGTGTCCTAAGGAGGGAATAACTGGGGAATAATCCTATATCCTTTGGGCAGCTAAATAGCACTGGTAACTGTGTGGAAAGAGATTGGATAAGAGAGCAAAAATATCCCTTTTTTCTTTTCTCACCTGTTAGCCCCAGACATATTTTCAAACCTGGACCATTCATTATGGGAATTGCTTTCAAAATCACAAATCCCAAACCAAAAAATAATAAATCAGTATTCTTGGTAGGATCTTCAAAGAAAGGAAGGAATGGTCACAAGAAACTTTAAGAAATAGTGGGGGGAAAATCTGTATTTACATATGATTTGCATGTGCTATATTTTCTCTAGCCATTTCCAGCTAAAATGGCATTACTAACAAATATTTTTAAAATAATTATTCTTCGTAAAAGATTGATAGTGCTTTCTTGATTCTGTGCTATATTTTCTCTAGCCATTTCCAGCTAAAATGGCATTACTAACAAACATTTTTAAAATAATTATTCTTTGTAAAAGATTGATAGTGCTTTCTTGATTCTGTTTATTTTTCCCTTTGTTTGCAGTAATTTAGCTACCCTGAGCTCCTGAAGGCCTCAGGATAAAGATAGAATTAGAGAGGTGACCAGAAGCAAAACCAGTTGACAGAGGAAGAGCTAAACCTTGATGATCTTTTCTTAGGGCTACTTTTCCCTCTCCCCAGCTCCATGTATGGAGCGCCTTGAATTAGTGGAAAGTCAAATGTTCTCTACTAGTAGCTTATAACAATTATCACTATAGCTTCAATGGCTATATTTTATAACAATGACAAATCATTTTAGCTGAATGTAACCCTGACCATATAGAGTACCCAAAGGGTTTGCTAGCTTTCCACAAACTATTCTTCTCTGACAGGATAAAGTGGGATTTTTTTTTTTTAAAGAAATGTCTACCTACACAATATTGTCACACAGAAACAAATTTAGTTCCCCTGAAATTTGTGAAAAAGAGATATCACTAGCCCCCAAGTATACAGTGAGCCCAAGTAATATTGTAAGCTCAACTTACTTAACACAGTGACAAGAGAGCGAAGGCTTCTATCAGTGTCTTCCTCATAAAGAATGGGCTTAATAAAAATTGCCTGTCTCTAAGTTGCATGGGTTTCAATCTAACCCATATGTACTTATTTTGGATAAAGTGGATTTTTAATATTTTTTCCTTTATAGATTGGATCACTTGAAAATCACTACTTATTCAAACATAAAAACCATCCCCGAAGGTCTCGAAGGAGTGCCCTTCATATTACTAAGAGATTATCTGATGATGACCGTGTAAGTGTTGTGCATTTGTCTTCAAACCAATAACCTGACTTATCTGCTTTATGATTTCCAACAAGAGCAAAAAACACTTTGCAAATGTGATTATTTTTTATTGTGGTCACAATTATCTGTCTGTAGTGTTTCTTGTTATTTCTATAGGGTTATAATTCTATAGGAATATAACAACAAGGCACATAATAATAACTGGATTGGACTGGATAGACCAAGTTAAATAAATTTTATATATTATGTAAAAATAGATGTTTAAAATATTAGCTCACAAATCGAGACAAAGAACATGAAAATGAATATTGAAAATTAAATTGCAGCTCTAATAAAAATATTTGCCAATACAATCAATTAACAACCTTTTATTATATGCCTATTATTTATGAGCACTTTAATGTCCAATGTGAGGATGCCAAAGAAATTTAACATATGAACATTGATTTTAATAAATTTCAGCATAACTGAAAACACATTTTACCATTTCTGTGTGGTTTGGTTATATGGGGAACTAGTGCTAATGAGTGAGTTTTAATTCCATGTCTTTATGAGCCAAATGTTTCCATAAGTATTGTATTGTTTCACTGAAAGCATTAGATCTCTTTTTACCCTGGTTTGTATACATATTCAATGATTAGGCAAGAGCAGGAAATGTCTAGAATGAATATAGGTAAATAGTGTGAGGACAATTTGAATGCATATCTAGTGTACCTATTGATTTTTGAAGTCTGTTTTCAAGATCAGCAAACATGTCAATAGAAATGGTGACTATATTGGGAGTATTGAAATTTGCATGCACAATGTTGCCTTTTCTCAAGAATGTGCCATACTGGTAGAAATTTATCCTGGCTGGCCTGTTTTCTGTTATCATGATTTCTGTTGCCTAGGACACTCCAGAGAATTACGGAAGCTTTGTGAGAGGATACACCCTTTCAACTTGCTAGAAAGAAAATATAAGTGACAGGTGATAAAACTATTGAAAGTACATGGAATTTATAAACCCTGTGAAATAATTTGCTATTTGTTTTGTTCTTAAACTGACAGAATTTTAAAAGGAAGAATAAAAAGGCAAATTATCAGGGTAGGGAATGACTGGGCCTGGGTTATCAGCCACCACACCTAGGCGAAGAACGCTATTTCAGGACCATGGACAGCGAACCTCAGCTCCTAGGCACCCATAGTTAGCTTTTACTCAGGTTAATGGCTAGATGTGTGAGACCAAATTAGAGGCTCAAGATTACTTGAAAAGTTTCTTGTCCAGTGAAATCTTCCTTTTGCCATCCCAAAGCAGATGACTCATTGTATGGGCTGTGAAAAGTAGGACAACTTCCAAGACTCTGGCTAAGCTTAGTCCTTGAGCAAAGCAAAAGATTTCCTTGTCTGCCTAAATGCATGCCTGACACTAATGCACAAGGAAGTCAAACTGACCTCCCTTCTCATCTTCACAGAAGAAAATTGGACAGAGTGGAGAAATACCTGTTATTATTACTACAAGTATTTCACTAAAATGAACTAATGACCCAGTTCTATATTCAGATATTTCTTTAATAGATGATTTTGGAGCAAAAATCTCAAGTGATAATGAAGAAAGGCTAAGAATTTAATCTCCAACATAAATTCATAAAAAAAAGAATCCATATAATCTTATGAAAAGTTATCCCCAGATACATTTATTTTAGAAAAAATCCTAGAACCCATAGAAGCTAGCAGTGGAAAGTTGGACTAGATGATCTTTAATGCTTTTCCCAAATCAAAAGGATTATTTACATTTAAGTACATGATACCTATTACATACACAAAAGAAAGATACCACTAATTTCCTCTATTTGTTTGGTCTGGTCTTATAGAGCTTAATATGGGATTTGGAGTTAATGACATTAATCATAAGTTTCCAACAATTGAATGTTTATCTGATCAGATGGCAGAGTGCCTCTTCTTATATTCCCTTTTTAAAAAATTGCTTTTGATTTTCATTTTATTGCTCTTTTTTTTTGATGGGGGATAATATTCTTTCAAAATAGCCTTCTGAAATGCTGCAATACGCTATCTTTACAAGTCTGTTAATGAAATCTCCAACTGTAAGTGACTCTCTCTATCAAAGATTAGTACTTGTTCCCTAGCAGCCAGCTTCCAAAGACCAACTCAGATGACAGGTTGTATATTACAAGCATTGAGGTATTTTAAGCCAAAACAATTAAGCTTGAACCTACAGGCTCTTTAAAAATAAATTATAGCAACTAATGTCTAGCTTTCAAGTCCCTCCCAATATTTATAATAGGTTTGCCATAGATTTTCTAATTGAAAATTCAGGAAAGTCTTAGTGGATGGTTTTATCCTTTAGCAACAAATTATTTTTTAGTTTTTATTTTTGGATCTGACTCATGAGTATTCTCACATTAACAACATCCCACCAGACACTGGACTGTCATCATGTGTACAACAGAGAGAATATGTTTTGGGTAAGAAACAGTCATGTTGCTCAGTGAAATAAGAGCATGGTATTATTACATAATGAATATAACCACAAGGCAGTCCCTCACCCTCTCAGGGTCTCAAGTATAATAGGATTATGCCATAAATGTGGGAAAGGTAATTTTTGTATTGTCAGATCTCTTTGCATAATACATGAGACTAAATTAATGGTAAGTGTGCATGGTCAGTAATATTCATTCATCACCCTGGATCTGTTTCTCATATTAAATACTCTTAAGCAGAAGCTTGAAGCACAAGGGAGCCAGAGTTTCAGATTTGCAAAGACACAGCACCTTTCTTGTCTGGCGTGACATTTGCAATTTCTACCTCTTGCGTGTAAAGAAAGAGAAATTAAGCTGTAAGGGCACCACAACAGCAGTCTCTGGAATCTCTTAGCTTGTTGACTCATTACATGAAAATGGACAAATTTTCTGCTACAAAACCCTCAGACTGCAATAAAAAATTAGTATTATGGTCCATTTGCTGATTAAAGTAGGCTGAACTTTTACCTCCACTGGAATCATAGTGTAAATAATTTGAGGGAATCATCACTTCACTGATTCCTTCCCTTCCCCCTAAAGGTACAGTTTACTGTAATAGAGGAAATGTTCATCTCCCCAGTGGGCAATGCATGCTTCTCACTGAGCTGCCAGTTTGATCTGCAATCAAACGAAAACATTTTTGAACTGCCTCAACTCTAATGGGGAGGGTACTGGAGCTAGTTAGAGGGAAGATGGTTACACAGAGGTGACTATCTGACTGCTGATTTTCTTGCTATAAAACTCCTTGTAGGTAATATGGGCTGAACAACAGTATGAAAAAGAGAGAAGTAAACGTTCAGTTTTAAGAGACTCAGCACTAAATCTCTTCAATGATCCAATGTGGAATCAGCAGTGGTACTTGGTAAGTATTTACAGAAGGACTGTATAGGACCTGGGCTATTTACTTTGTTACATCTGCAAAATAGATTTTGTTTCTTAAATGATAGACAATTCAGTAGAGGGCTATGTTACCTGGAGATTAGGGCTGATGGGATCTTCCATGATCTGGATCTCCTGTTTTACTAGGTGAAAGTGTCTGAAACACAGATGTTTAGCCTCTATGAGAAGAAGGATTGTTACTTTCTTCTCTTAAGCTTATCTGGAGCAAATGCAGAAGAATCGTCTTGCAAGTTAAGAGTTCCAAAACAGTAATCATGGCAAAAATCACATTTGGTCAGTTATTCTTGAGAACTTTTAAATCATCCAAAGGGCACAGTGAACGTGATTCAGTATATACAGCCCTGAGTGGCAATTCTTACATGCTAAAAATGAGAATTTCTGAACCAAACTAAAGGAAGGAACACAAGGAGAGACAAAAGACATCCACAAGCAGATGTCTAGACTTGCAAACTGTTTTACTTTTAGGGATACCAAATCCTTGTTGGTATGTGGGTGTTGAGTAGAGAAATTTTTTTTAAAGATTATTTATTTATTTATTTATTTATTTGAGAGAGAGAGAGAGAGCACAAGAGGGGAGGAGGGTCAGAGGGAGAGGGAGAAGCAGACTCCTTGCTGAGCAGGGAGCCTGAGACGGGGCTCAATCCCAGGACCCTGAGATCATGACTTGAACTTGAGCAGATGCTTAAGCGACTGAGCCACCCAGAGCCCCCTGAGTAGAGAAATTTTAAGTGCCCCTTCTTGCCTGCAGAGTGTTCTCCCTTCCATTCTAATATTAAGCCTCTATGGCAGTAATACATGCTGATAGAAGTGTTTTTTTCTTGAGAATACTATAAAAGATAAGTTTTCATGACAACCATAAGCTAAGGCTTAGACATCTTTGTTGCATAAAGGATGGGAAAAGGGATCGATTCCTCTTGACATTCTCTTAACCTAGGCAATACTTGTTCATTGCAGTAGAAGAGACTCATTAACATTTGCGTATTGACTGTATGTCAAATACTATTCTAAGTGTTTGACATGAATGAACTCATTTAGTTTTCACATAATATTGTAGATACAATGATTATACCCATTTAGCAGATGAAGAGACAAAGACATGGGCAAGTTTAGTAACTTGCCAAATTCATCTGGTTGCCAGTGGTAGGGCCATAATTCATCGCTCCAGAGGTCATACTCTTAACTACCACACTGTGTGATTGTTCTTACAACTGACACAGAGATCTTCTCTGGCTTTGGCCAAAAATCTATATGTAGTTCCAACCTCCTGTGATTTAGCTTCATGTTGGCCTTGTAAGTTCTTTTAAGAGGTTTCCCCTACTGGGGCACTTTGGTGGCTCAGTTGGTTGAGTGTCCAACTTTTGGTTTCAGCTCAGGTCAAGATCTTACAGGTTGTGGGATCAGCCCTATGTAGGGCTCTGTGCCCAGCGGAGAGTCTGCTTGGAGATTCTCTCCCTCTGCACCTCCCCTCACTTGCATGGGCTTGCTCTCTCTAAAGTGGATGAAGACATCCTTAAAAAAAAAAAAAAAAAGTTTTCTCCTACTTCTTTCCGAGAAGAATCAGCCAGGGGAAATTCATTCATTGATACTTTTGGCTGTTATTATTTATAAATTTCTTACTGTCCTTTTCACCAGAAACCTGGTACTTTTCTAAAGCATCTCCCTCAAATGCTTGGAAATGTGCTCATCTCTCTATTCCCTTGCTGTCCAGCTCTTCTCACTTATAGTCCCACACACTGTAACTATCAGAAAATCTATCTGAAAAGCAAAACTCCAAATCTCCTCTCACAGATACTTCCTCTCTAAATCACTGATACTTGAAAAAAAAAATACATCACTCATACTTGGAAATAGGCAATTAAATTGCAAGTCTTGGTGAGATGGCAGCCTCCTAGACATTCCAGGTTCTGCTTTTTGAAAAGTTATTAAAACATTCATGAATGACTATGAACCAGACAATATAAAGTAGGTTCAGTGTGGCAAGGTCAGCTCAGGATTTGGGAAAGATGGGAACATGGGACACCAAATAAAACTCTGGTTGATAAAAAGCTTGAGTGTGTCATTATAAATGAATGAAACTTGGGGATAAACTTCTTCTTAGAAGCCATGAAGCTCAGTGAGAAGGGGCACAGAGCGATTCATTGTTTCAGGTGATTTTCCATCAGAACAACTGGGAAAAGAACAGCACTCCAATGATTCACTTGGCTCTACCATCAACTTTGTTTTTTATTTCACCTCCTTCTAAAAAGTAGAGTGACCCTGGGGGGTGGGGAGGGGGAGATGGGTCTCCAGACTTGAGATTCAGTTCTCATTTTGCAGCTAGTAAATCATGATTTTACCAATTCTTTGTTTTTCTTTACCAGCAAGATACTAGGATGACTGCAGCCCTGCCCAAGCTGGATCTCCATGTGATACCTGTTTGGCAAAAAGGCATCACAGGCAAAGGAGTTGTTATCACAGTACTGGACGATGGCTTGGAGTGGAATCACACAGACATCTATGAAAATTATGTGAGTCTGGGCGCTCCCATGACTACAACTTAGGGAGATGTCTACAAAGACACATTGTTAAGGCTTTCCTTTTCTCAAGTGGAAGACTGCTCTGATGTTGGCCCCAGGAATTATGGGCCACAGTTTTGCTCTTTCTCTTACCCTCCTGCCAGCACATAAGAACTTTTTTTGTATCAGTGGGCACTGAAAGAATTCAGTGGAGCCAAGGATTTTACAAACCATGTGTGTTGAGGAAGGGGGGAGGGACCTATACCAGCTAAATTATTAAAAGCCATTCAGACTCTACATTACTCAGTATTTGGCGGCATTAAAGAAATCAAATCAAGAATAATGCCTGAGCTCATTTTCACAGTCTTCTTCCTCACATCCTTTATAGGTGAATATCTCTGACATTGTGAAATTATGTGAATGAAAGTCCTTCCATGCAAATTCAAATGTACACACATAGTGTAAAAATGGCAAGCTGAGAAAAGAAATGTTTATTATGAATGGAAAAGAAGTAAATGAAAACTACTTAATTGTCTATTAAGTACTACGTGATATCTTAGGCCTTAAGATCAGCGTTTCATCTTTAAGATCGTCCCTTGTCTTTCTGTCATCTTTTCCATTCCTTCAAAATTCTCCAGCTAAAGAGCAAAAGATAAGGGAAGAAAAAGGAGAGATAAAAAGATTAATAGAAAGTAGGAGTTATTGAAAGATATGGAAAATGTAGAGAAGAGACCATACTGGTAACAAAACTCCTACGTGGGAGATGTGTAAGTATAACAATCTGTTTGGAAAAGGAGGGGGGACCTAGAAGCTTGTCTTCAATTTCAAGCACACTCTCTTTAATTAAATTACATGTTTATTTCGTGTAACTGGGGAAGGCTGAAGGAGATCACTGTGGACCTGAGCCCCACCCCACAGTCACCTATTTGCACCCGTAATCGTGAGAGATGAGTGTCCAAGTGTAGCTAACTAGCTCTAGAGCTTAGTTGTCATTCAACCTCTCTGGGTCTCAGTTTTCTCATTTAAAAAATGAGGTGGTCAAACTAAGTAAACTCTGATTCCTTCCGGTTCCAATATCCTATGAGCTTCCGAGAGTTATATAGGTTTGGTAACATTTACTGAGAATTGGATGCTTGCTCACTTTCCTATGTACATCATTTATGCCTGGTTTATGGGTATAATAAATGATCAGCCACTGGGCCAGAAACTCTGAAATGCAGACTTCTGAGCTATCAGCCAGGATGGAGGGGGTAGGGGCAGAAGGCTTGGGAAGTGCTACTTTTTTTTTTTTTTTAATGATGCTACAGGGTTATTTTTATTGTCTCTTTAGGATCCAGAGGCTAGTTATGATTTTAACGATAATGACCATGATCCATTTCCCCGTTATGATCCCACAAATGAGAACAAGTGAGTAAATGTGGATGGGGGGGGATATGTACTTTAAAATGCTTTTATCTTATTTGAGAAAATTACACTATAAATATGATCTACATTTCAGCTCTCAGAAAAGTTTTCATGCACACCAACCACACCACAATATTTTGTTGCTTTTAAAGCAGAAACCAGTGCTTCTATTTTTGTATTTCTTTTGGCTTATGGGGTCATATTTTAATTAAGCTTTCTTTCTATGTTATGAAATGCTTCATTGGTACTTCAAATGGTACTGAATAGTTATAGCTTTAGAAACAATATTTGGGTCATAAAGAGTAAAATCCTCCAGACCATCTTCTCCAACCCCAATTTGTCTATGAATCCTTTCCTATTAGCAACATATTTGGTGTTTGTTGTGGAAATAAAAAGAGACGACAAAGATAACAAATCCCCATGACTTCTTTTGGTGGCCACAACCATGCTCACCAGTTCCCTCAGCAAAGTATGGCCAGATACCAGGCAACAGAGATGTACACTGAGGCCTGGCCCTCAAATCCATCACATTTTCTGGGGGCATTGGATGAGTCCATAGTCTCTCCCAGAGTTTCTGCTGGGTATTGTAAAGCTAAAGGGAAGAGAAAAAGAGTATCTTCTGACTCCTAAAATAATTCTCCCTAGCAACCACAATGTGATGAGGGAGGCCAAGAGCCAGAACTAACAAAGCAAGAGGCCAAATTAAGAGCCAGAGCCAAGAGACTTCTTAACCTTTTTTCCTAGCTGCAAAGAAACTTCACCCTCTAGCCACATGGCCTCAAGTGTCCATACCCATGTCAGAAGTCTTCTTTTGCAACATCTCTCATAACTTCAAGAAGACTTCCGTACTTTCTTCTTCATTTGCTCCACCCAGAAGAGACTTGCACCAAAATAGATCAAAGCCAAGGCAAAATGAGGGCTTGTTGCTACGATTGGAATGGAAAGATTCTACATAAAGGGGTTAATTTTCTCTCTGTGTGGCTTTTTCTCTCTTGGACTATTACCCAACTTGGGTCAATTGAATTCTCCCTCTCTTGCTCTCTTTCTCCCTCTTTCCCTCTTCCTTTCTCTCTTATTCTCACTCAGAATTCCCATGTGGCTGGTGCAGTAATGCTGACCTAAATTTGTTTCTTTGGACAGGTCCCCTCTCCAGAAGGCCAACAAACACCAGGAAGAGAGCTGAGGCTCATGCACTTAGCCTCAACCTCTGGGTGTATATTTCCTCCTTGGGGAGAAGGGGAGGCTTGGGGATGGTTCCAAGATACTGCCTCTTTCAGTACCATTTACTTCTAGGGTTTATTTCTTAAAGGGGTTAACTACAAACAATGCCTAGAAGTTAGAATATTCCAGTAACAGTACAACGAGAACCACCAGGGGGTGCACTTGGAGGAAAGTTAGATATCTCAGGAACTTATGACAGGAGCCCCAGACAAATTTTCAGCCATATATCTAAGTCAAGGCAGTGCAGGGTCAGGAGGAATATGTGCTCTTTTGGAGCATGACCTTGTAATGTTAGCCTGGCTGGTAGTCATGGCTTTGCCAATTATCAGTATAGAAGGTGACCTTGAGGAAATCACTTACAACTCTCTCTGCCTCTATTTTTCGTTTTGTCTCTTAAAATGGGTGATAATGCACTTGCTCTCTACCCTCCTAAACGGAACTTCCTAAGGAAATGGGCAATAAGTTCTTGGAAAAAAGGGGCACTTTATTCTAAGAAGTTAGAATAAAGTAAAAATGACAACTCTTATTCCACCTCCTTGGTCAAGACCAAAAGAGAAATCTGCTCTCAGCCATATGGGTGCAGCTGAGGAGACTGTTAGCTGGAGGTGCTAGGCTTCTTCCTAGGCAGTGTCCTCTAGGTGGGGCCCCAGGATCCAATGTGGATGATAAATTGTGTAGTGGCTGCTTGATAGCCAAATACTTGGTAAAATGATATTCTCTAGAGGTTCTCTACTCATGAGAAGGGGGGACTCAGATTTCCCTTTTTGTTCCCCCCGAAAGGAGGAGTCTTCTATCCAGTATTCATAAGACTGGATAGCCAATTCAGTAGCCACATTTTCCCCAATTCACAGAGCTCCAAAGCCTTCAAAGAAGTAGCCTATATAATGGTACTTATTTTGTGCCTGAAAACTCTTGAGTTTCCAGAGCACAGCCTGCCATGGACCTCCCACATAGTGTAGAGTTAACGTGACACAGCCAAACAGCTAAGAGTATAAGCTTTGCAGCTAGATTTAGATTAAATATTAGCTCTGCCACTTAACAGCTGGGTGACCTTGAACAAATTATTTAACTGCTTTTGTGCCTCAGTTTTATCATCTATTAAAAAAGAATATAACAGTAGCTACTTCGTTGGGTTATTATGGGGATTAAATGAGTTTATATATGTAATTGGCTTGTATAGTGTCTGTAATGTATTTGCTATGACGATGACCATCATCATCATCAAGCCTTCACATTTAGCAACTAAGATAGGTCGACTTTCAGTAAAAAATCAACATGACAAGAATAATACCATCTGAGAGGAGCAGAGACAGAGACAAGTCAATTTTCTGAGCCAATACAGAATCTGCTGTTTGAAAATTACACAATAAGTAACTACCTCTCAGGGTCCTCTTGACTGTCAACCAAAAAGGTAGCATCCCTATCATTTATCAAAAGGTATAATAAAAAATAGAGTTGCCCTTCTAGCATGTTGTCAGAAATAAATCCCTTAGGTTTAGAAAATGAATGGCTCCATTTCATCTTGGACTTTATAGCAGTTAGAGACCTATTATCTCCCAATTCCAAGGGCATTATCTCCCCAAACTATCTGTGTTGCTTCTGTTTGTTATTACTATGTAAATGAGATTAATAGAAGCTGCATTTGAATTCACCTCTGCAAATCAAAAGAGGAATCACTAAATAATAAAATCTCAAAAGAGCAGGTAACTCTTACTATTAAGCTGGCATGAATCTATATTCAGAATTTCAATACCGATTACAGATTATCTTTCTATTAAATAACATGTGTGGCAGGGGTATTTTAACTAGGATAATAGTAGTCTTTAAACTATCTTGTGGAAAAATTTTTTAAAAATCAATTTGTTTAAACGCCAGTTACTACCATTGTTCTAAGATAATAAAGGGTTCTTTTATCTCACAGACTAATTTAAGGAAAGAAAAAAGCTGCAGGTCTACAAAGAATGACATAGTACCACTTTGATAAAGCCTTCCGTTTTTCTCAAGGTGTGGAGGTGGGAAGTGACGGTAAGAGGAGGGAAAAATATCAATCTTTTTTGTACCATGATCCTACTGCACCTTTCAAGAAAATAATTTTCCATATGTAAAGAGAGAGAAATCATAGGCGGTGTCACATTGCATCATTCTTAGGACAGAGGTGCTGTGCTGGGAAAGTGCCAACAGTTTGATTCTATTGGCTCAAGCTGGAGATTCTGCTATCCTGGCCCTATCTCCTGTCCTGTGTACATGGAAATACAGGTGGTGGTGACTTCTAGGAACACAGTTTCCAGAGTGGGACAACTCAGTTTCTCCTTCTACAAAAGCAAAGAGAGTTAATCTATCAAGGAAGCATAAGTTTCTCTTTATGTGTTCGATGTGCACACAATTCTCAGAGAATGGGTGTGTTGGTCAGGGCAGCTTCAGTTGCAAGTGAGAGAATCCTAATTCAAAGATGAAGTAAAATGGGGATTAAAAAAAAAAATTACCCAAGGGATGGTCTAGCTTCAGGCATTCCAAGATCCAGGAGCTCAAATAATATACTCTTAGGATTAGGACCCCAATCACTGTCTCCATCTCTTAGCTACTTGCCTCCAATTAGCTTCATTCTCAAAAAAAAAAAAAAAAAAAGTCTTGCCTGGCAGCAAGATCCACATGGCCCATGGAATTTAAAGCTGTAGATTCTAGAAAAAGAATAGAATTCTCTTCCCCAGAATATGCAACAATCCTTGAGAGCTGTCTGGGAAGAAGAGGCTCATGATAGACTCACAAGGAATGAGGAAAAGCTACCTCCCTAGAGGAGAAAATGCTAGGAGGAAAAAGAGAAGCAGCAGATGTCTGCTGCATTAGGAAAGACTTTGAATTAAAGATAATTATATTGTTCTGACTTAGGATTCCTCTCCAGTATTAACATGAAAAAACAGAAACATCCTTTAGTAAAAGGTGACCAAGAAATCATCTTTGGTACTTTAGGAAAAAAAAAAAGAGAGAGAAGTGAAAAGGAATCATTTTGGATAGTCAATTTAGCATTTGTATATTCCCTGCTGGGCTAAATTAATAGATGTCTAGTGTAGTGATGTCTAAAACTAGGTGGCTGACAGTGTTGCTCAGAACTAACTCTTCCCCTCTTTCCTATGTCAGCTCCTCCAAAACACCAACAGCCTCTCCACGGCTCTCAGGGGCTTCCACAATGGAATGAAATCATGAAATAAATTCACATTAAAGTTCTCTTGACTTATTGATCCTCCTAAGGTTGGGGCGGTGGGGGTGGGAAAAGATTATTATCCTCAGATTTTCAGAATTGATGCTTGAATGGTGGACTCTGCTCTGTTTTAGAGATGGACTTTTCCCTCCAGATACTCTGAAATCATCAATTACCCTCTTTGCCTGATGGCAAAACCAGTCTTGTTCAGGCTTCTGGCCCCAGTCAGAGTTGCAGGACGACCCTGGTTTCCCAATTAACCAGCTAAAATCTCAAACTCTCCTTGGTACCAGAAAACCCTCAGTTGCTTTAGTTTGGTGGAGGATGGTTAGAGGAGGGGAAGAGGGCTTGAGAGGAGAATTCTGTTCTACTTATCCTACTAGGATTGGTCTAGGATAACCTAATCCAAGGAAGTCACTAGACAGGGAGTGAGGAGCAACTTCACCAAAACATATGGAGCAGACATCATTTCTTTGAAACGGCTTCAGAAAGTGTCAGAGCTGCTCATGACAGTATCCATAGCTAACACTTCCCGAGTTCTATCATGATACCAGCCGCCACTCTAAGTGCCCTACATGCAATATCTCACATGTTGCCACAAAACCGTTGAGGACAGATAACTTACCCAACGTCACACCACTAGTCAGTGGCAGAAGCTGGAAGGTGAATCACATACTTTGGCTCCAGTACCTGTATCATCTGACACCTACACTTCATCTAATACTGATGGGCAGGGAACCGGCAACAAGGCTGACAAAAAGTTGGTGTGGCCACGTACCAAGGATTCATGTGCAAACGACAGCTTGCCCTCATTTATGTTTTATAATTCCTATTTTTAATCTTCAGACATGGGACCAGATGTGCAGGAGAAATTGCCATGCAAGCAAATAATCACAAGTGTGGGGTCGGAGTTGCATACAATTCCAAAGTTGGAGGTAAAGCAGAGGGTTGCTCCTAGAGTTGTGAACTTTGAGTCTTGCATCACCTGGTGTAAATAAGGGGGGGAAGGGGGCTTTCAACAACCAGAGGAAGAAATGAATTCCATGTAAAATATGCTTCAGGATTTAAGTGTGATTTGCAAACAAATCAATAGGTCTGGATTCCTAAAAAATGATAGCTGAATATAGCCTACACATCTTTGTGGGGAGAAAAATGGAAATGTTGAAAAGCTTTTGAACCAAAGCTAATTTTCTCTGTGTGCTAATTTACAAGGGTTTGTTATCGAGTGCTTGCTAAGGGAACAGAAGGAGGAGGTAAATTTAGGCAAAGAATTTCCCTGCCTCTCAATTCTGTCATTCTTCATTTCATAGCAAATAACTGTCTTAAGAAAATAAGAGAATACATACTGGTTACATGAAGAAGCCAAAGGTTATCTTTGACAGCATAGATTCAGAATCTGTGTCTTTGTGGGGAAACATACTAAGTTCCATCAGGGCAATTTAATAGAGGAACTATTTACAAGACTTAAGGGAAATTATCACTATACGGTACACCTGAAACTAATATGACACTGTATGTTAACTAACTGGAATTAAAATAAAAACTTAAAAAAAAAAAAAGTAAAGGGAAACCAATAAGGAACAACAAGTGAAGACAGATGTTAATCACCTTTGGGCCTAAAGGAGCAAGGGGAAGGAGAGGTCAGTGGCAACTGGAGAAAGTTGGGGCCATAGGAGAGAACCACTGGACAGGAGCTGTGGCCCTGAATGCAGCAACAGGGCTTCTTCTAGGCAAAGAGGAGCCCAGGGAATGAGTATCTTGCTCTCCCCTCATCCCCCAGCCTCCTGCTGCCGTCTTCCTGCTGACTGATGCCAGTGGGAAGGCAAGAGAACCCAGTGATGCAGTCCACGTTCCTGTGAGGATGGGTGGATGGTGGACCGGCAGGGGCTCACAGAGAATATAATCATTGTCTCTCCGCTTTTCACTATCCCTACCTTGGGCTTTCACAGTTATGCTAACAACTCTGAGCTTAGTTTGTTTTCCAAGCTACAATAGAAAGGATCATCTGTAGAATATGCCAATGACAGTAAACCTCCTTTAAACTCTGCATAAGTATACCTTGAATTTGATTATGACTTCCTTTTAAGAAATCAAATGAACACGCATTGTGGCACATATAATGAATCTCTCCCTAATTCAGCACACTATTACATTTTGTGTCACTCCTGATCCCTCTGATACCAGCATTGTCAAAATTCTGTGTGTCCCCCCCCCTTTTTTGTAAGTGCTGTGTTAACTTTTAAAAAATGAAGGCAGAGCACAAATCAGGTAATCACCTAGAGAAATACTTCCCTTTTTAAGTCATGATGAACTATCTAGCTATAGTTTGTGAGACAATCTTCTGATCCCTTCACTTTATAGAGGAGTAATCAGAAGGAAGACTCTCAAGGTAATAGCTAGTTCATGGCAGTGCAAAACTAAAACACAAGACTTCTGATTCCAAGTCTACTGAGATTTTTTTCATTATTCCACCCTTTGATGGTTTAGCCCCAAATGCATTTTTAAATAATACTTTTCACTTATTAGGCACCACTGACTCTACAACACATTATAGGTGGTGTACTCTGTAAGTTAACAGGTTGGATATGGGTGCCAAATTTCTGGGATTCAAGTCCCACCTCCCCAGTTTCAAGTTGTGTGACCCTGAGCAAGTCATTGTCCCTCTCTGGACTTACAGTCCATCTGTAAAAAGGGAAAAATTATGGCACCCATCTCAAATGGTTGTCCTAAAGATAGAGGAATCCATACGTTTAAGGCCTCAGCATGGTAGCTGCATATAGTATATCCTCAAGGCACATCAGCTGCTATTATCCCCATTTTAAAAATTGAAGAAACTGAGGCACAAGAGATTAAGTGGCTTGCCCAAGATCACACAGCTAGTAAGTAGAGCTGGGATTTTTTCTTTTTTCCAAAATAAATTTTTAACCAGTGTTGTTTTAATCAATATGACTTCTGCTAATTATGTTAATTGCATGTTCTTTTACCTATGCTCCATAGTAAATAATAGCATGCAAATGTAAGGCTGTGCACTCTACTACATGATCAGCCTGAAGCCAGTAATAACCCAGTAGTTCCCTGTCTCTGTCTAAATTGCTTTTGCCTTCCTGGCTCTTGAACACATTGAGTCTGATGACAGGTGACAGCCTGTTAGAAAGGACAAAGAGCTACCACGTCTGCCTTCTCCTAATGAAAAATGATTCCCCCTCAGGAGCAAAATCCATGGCAATGATTTCATCCTTGAGATTATTTGGAAGAAAAGGAAGCATGTTCCTTGAAAATGTTTCTCAGCAAACACATAAAAGAATGGCCTCTGGGTTACTTTTAATCAGTGCTCAGAAACAAGCGTTCTTTCCCTATTTGTTAGTTTCCTATTGTGGGTAGATCTTTTCAAGCTACACAGTGTCCCATACAGAATCCTTCGTAGGGCACAGGCTGAGCAACAGTCGTTTGTGGTACAGTCATGAACAGACAGGTCAAGGGAGGGCTGTTTGATACCTCTTTCCAAAAGCTGTCCTGTCATTTTCAGGTTATTGGGGTAGCGAGGGGAGGGGAGACATTTTGTAATCAGTAAAGATCATGGTCCCTGCTTAGTGCATATAGTTATCTCTAGAGGGCAGATACCAAAGCTTATGGAGGCAGTGACTTGTATCTTCCTTCTGTGCTCATAGCAGCCTGATCACAGGCACTTGAGACCTCCAGCGGTTACCCTGTTTTTAACTCTTTTGAGAGTCTTCTATAAAATGACTATTAAAAAAATAAAAATAAAATGAATATTAAGAGCATTATACCATTCTGCATGTACACGCTGACATCCACTTACTTGCTTCTTGTGTGATTTACTGCTCAGGCATAAGAATGCTGGATGGCATTGTGACTGATGCTATTGAAGCCAGTTCAATTGGATTCAATCCTGGACATGTGGATATTTACAGTGCCAGCTGGGGCCCTAATGATGACGGGAAAACTGTGGAGGGGCCTGGCCGACTGGCCCAGAAGGCTTTTGAATATGGTGTCAAGCAGGTAAGATGCTTAACACAGACCCGCCTGAAATGAAACCTGACCATTTGGATATGAAGGAAAGGGAAGAGCACTCAGCTTATATGGAAAGAAATGGCTTTGAATTTCTTGTCGTTGCCTACAATTTGAAATGCGTTTAGAGAGCCAAATCATTCTTCGGAGGGACAGAAGTTAAGGGTTAAGAGTTTTCCCCATTTGGGTCTGACATTCAACAGAGATTCTTTATGCTCTTAGAATATTTACTTTAAAAAAATACTCTGGAAATAAAATTTTTAAAAATTAAAAAACAAACACAAGTAAGTAAATCAGAAAATAAATAAATAAAATTAAGAAATACTCTGGATATGTCCTTTCTCATTTTCCTGCTGCTTTTGGATGTTTACACTAGGGACACTACTACCCAGACTTCTTTCAACTCTCTGGAAACGCATCCTTAAGTATACCTATGTGCTACTACTCATTTTGTACGTGCCCGGTGTGGACTTGTGCCTTGTTGGTGTTGCACTGCATTCTTAGCAGGATTCTAAGGCCTCGTTCTGCACAGGATCAAACAAAAGTAGAAACTTTGGAGAGCAGATTGAGAAGTCATAGAAAGAGTAGCCTTGACGAGTTGCATTCAATTGAAGAGTCCCTTTTAATGCAGCTGCAAAACAGATCTGAATAATGCCTGATTTTGTCAGTCAGTCAGCCAGAAGATGCAAGCAGGAAAAAAGAGAGGAAGTTCAAAGATTCAAACACGGCGACATAAGCCAAGGGAAGAGTGCAAAAATATGAGCGAGTGCTAAAGGCCAGAGTATGAACCTGCACAGTAAGGAAAAGAAAGAAAAGCACTCACTCAGACCCATGCCAGGGAGGGCCCAGGGGAGGGAAGACTGGCAGAGTCACAGCCCAGGGACTTCTCATATGCAGTCTCCTGAGGCTTCCCACAGGGAGGGTGGAAGACCTAGAGTTGAAATGGACTCCAAATAACTCTCTCTCAGAACCTCATGCATGTATTTGTGGGGGGTTTCACCGGGGTGTTCCAGTGGTCCCAACCAATGACAGATGTGATCTAGTCTGGCTTTTCCTTTAGGGGAGACAAGGAAAGGGCTCCATCTTCGTGTGGGCTTCTGGGAACGGGGGGCGTCAGGATGATAACTGTGACTGCGACGGCTACACGGACAGCATCTACACCATCTCCATCAGCAGCGCCTCGCAGCAAGGCCTGTCCCCCTGGTACGCTGAGAAGTGCTCCTCCACCCTGGCCACCTCGTACAGCAGCGGCGATTACACCGACCAGCGAATCGTACGTTGTTTTGTCTGGCTCCTCTGCTTAGGTAGGAGAGCGCGGCTTGCGTTCAACAAGACCCTTTGGGCGGTACCTCTGGTCAAATTGATTTGCTTAAGTTTGAGGACTCAGTTGGAGAGACTCGCGCTGTACTCACCCGAAAGGCTGGCATCTAGTGGGAAGTTTTCTCTCTCAAGGATAATGACGCCTCTGCCAAGACGATGTTGCCTCTCTGTCATTTTTAAACTCAGCCCTGAGAAGCCACTAAGTTGTCATTACATACAGCCAAGAATCCAAATGATTTTTCTGCTTGTGTGACGCCTCCCTGAAAAGAGCCTTAAAGGAGATTTCAGGGTTGCAGGGGCTTTCCCACCCTTGTATTTGGTGATCCTTTAATAGCAGGGATATTGTCTGACTTGCCCTTTAGCAGATGATAAAAATACAGAGCACACACTAGCCACATCTCCTAAGAATGGATGACCTGCAGGAAAATAACAGTCTAAATTTCCCCCAAGATGAACTTCTCAGCGTCTGAATAAACAGCTCGGGAAGGTTATATGCTCAGAGAGCATCTCTAGCCCACACTTGGCTGTGCCTTCACTTCTATGAGTCAGACTGCCAAGGGCAATTATTGGATTTCCCTTCAAGGGCACAGTGATGAAGGGCCATCCAGCGGCTCTGAGAACAAAGAGAGGGACTTCTAATTCTAAAATGTATGGCCCCAAACTTAACTCCTGATATAGAAAGAACAACCGACTAAAGCCTGTAGATTGTAATCTCAGTGGAATAATGGGTCATGATTCAATGAGAGTGTGGGTGAACCCCATAATAATTAGACATCAGAATGTGTGTAAAATTCCTCTGAATGGCATCTCAAAGAAAATTGTCAGTACTCTTTTTTCATACAGGATCACTATTCTGGAACTCTGCCCATTTCTGCAACTCACTCTAGTTTAGACAGTAAAACCCTAGGCTCAACTTAAAAGCACTGGCCCCCTTCTCATGCCCTTATATTCAATTACTCAAATAATAGATGGTGATGTTCTCTCCAGGAATTGTTTACGACAGGAGTAGTTGCTAGCCTTTGAAAGAGGTGTATCAGACATGTGTCCCCCTTGTTTTCAGAGCCCCTGGGGGTGTCTAAAGTTGCAGAAAATGGCCTGGTAGGCATTTCGGTCAGCATTGTACAGACTGGCCCTCAGCTGAGCTACTGCACTCTGAAGCCCGAGGAAGTTTCCATCTTCGTAAAGATCTCTTCTTAGGTACGTCAGCCAGAGGAGCGACAGCTGGTGGATTCTATTTGAGACACTGGCAATAACATAGCCTTTGTCTTACGCAAACCCCATCCTCAGCTCAGTCAGCTCTGGGGGCTTACGTGCGTCAGTAGGGAAAAAGGGCAGCCTTGCTTCCTCAGCCCTCTAAGGAGCAGTGCCACCATAACTTGCGAAATTCAGCGACTCCAAGCGGGAAGCCAAAGGAGGTGATAATAGAACAAATTATTTTTTTACACCTCCCTCCCACACATTGAAATCTCTAGCTGAAAATGATAATGTGGGAGCCCAGGTGGGTGTCTTGTTAGTAATCCCTTGGCCTGGTGACTTGCTCAAGCAGCACCACTGTGGTCCTTAAGGCAGCCTGATCGGAAGTCTTTTTGGTTTCTTCCCTTCAGTCTTGGCAACCTCTTCATTAAGCTAACATTAGCCCGGGTAATTCCTTACATGCAGTAATATTGTGTAAGAATGCTTTCACAGACAGGATCTCATTTCGACCTCAGAATATGAGTCAGGAAATGTCAACCTCATTCTACAGATGGGGAAACCGAGTGACGTGCCCATGGGACACATCTACTGAGTAGCAGTTTTACAATTTGAAAACAGATCAGAGTCTAGCACACTCTTTGGTTGAAAAACACCATTTTCACCGAAGTGCAAATATGCTAACTCAGGGCCATCAAATTATGTCAACAGTGAGCACAAACTACACACTGAACACATTTTGTGCAAGTAGCTCAAGTGGCCCAAATCAGATGGCTTTGCATCCTTGCGCCGAAGAGACAGTCAAATGTCAATTCTGAAGGCAAAAGGGAATTTTGCATGAGGCAGAATTTCTAAATATGCCAGACCACACACAATGGACCTGATGATTAATGGGCCAGCATGATTCACAGTGATTTTGAAACTGTCCCTTCTTCACAGACAGCGTTTCGTTTGGGAAACTCAGAAGAGAAAATATTCATAGTGGGAGTACTTCATCCCCAGAAAAGGCAGCCTGATGCCAGAATTATAGACAAGTTGCATATAGAGGAGCATGAACTAAAATATCAGCAGATGGCAAACATCCGCCTGTGGTTTAGAGGAGGAAGTAGGGAAGCGAATCAGCTGAGTTTCCTGATCATAGCATATGCGGCCATAGGTAGGGTTAACCCCCAGGGCCAGGGGCACCCTCCTCACATGTTCTCCCACATTTCTTTCCCTCCGGATGCTACCCAGACAAGTGCTGACCTGCACAACGACTGCACAGAGACCCACACAGGCACCTCGGCCTCGGCACCCCTGGCTGCTGGCATCTTCGCTCTAGCGCTGGAAGCAAAGTAAGGTCCAGGAAACTTGTAATCACCTTTGCTGCCTCTCCTTCTTCTTCTTAACAACATAACTTGTTTTCTGAATTATGGTTACAATAGAAAACTTAGGAAACTATAAAAAATAATCATAAAAATAAGCTCTCTTCCTGTTAACCTCTCAATGTAGATTTAACACACACACATCTTACAAAATTGGGACCTCCGCATACACATAATTGTAATTTTTTTAAATCTACCCTATAATCTTTTAAGAGCACATTCTCATGGCTAAATCAATGTTCCTTGACCTTTACAAATTCATGCTTTCCTCCCAATTTCCCTCGCACTCAGCTGCAAGGTCTTCTCACTTCTGTTTCTTCTCACCAGGAAAGACTTTGTGCAGATAACTTCCTGTGGGTAGTGTTGGGAACAACAAGTTTATAGAACTTCCTTTTTTTTTTTTTTTTTTCAGATTATATAAGCCCAGTCCTAGAGCTGATCTAACATCTCAGAGGACATGAGAAGTAAAAACAGAATTTTTATCTTTTTGTAGTATCCCATTATATAAATGCAAATTATATTAAAGTCATTGAGTTATGTTTAGATACCCTCTTTCATCCATAAATATTGGTAATTTCCTCAGGACAAACACCCCTGATTAGAATTTCTGGGTCAAAGGGTGTGGCATGTTTTAATGATTTTGGTACACATTGACAAGTTACTGTTCAGAAAGATTGTATCATTTTATTTTCCCACCAACTCTGTATGTGTAAAAGCGCCAGTTCCCTTACCAAAGTTACTTTTATCATCTTTTAAATGTTTGCTATTTTGATAGGGGAAAATGGTATCTCAACTTTATATGCTTTCATTTCACTAGCAATGAAGCTCAGTATCTTATATTCTTTGGCCATTTGTCATCTGTGATTGCTCATTTATGACCTTGATTTTGTTTTATGGCCTTAGTTTCAAGAAGTTATTAATGCTTGGTTAGTTTGACATTTACCTTTTAATTTTATTTATAAGTAATTTTTATTGCAATGAATTTAGTATGTATACAGTTATATTTGTCCATCCTTTTCTTTAAGGCACTTTCCTTTGCTTTCATGCTCAGAAAAATATTTACAACCCCAAATTCGATAAACATTTATTTATATGCCTTTTATTATGGTTCCTTTACCATATTTAAGTTTAAATTCCCCTGGAATTTTAGTGTGTGATGTTAAAAAGGGATTTAACAGTATATTTAACAGTATTTTGTTCCTCATATTGGTTACACAGTAGTCCACCTCTTAATACAGAGGAAAAAAAAATCTAACTGCTGCACACTGTGTACCCACAGCTTTTTATTTGTCCTTGTTTCTGCTTTCTGGTGGTGAGAACACTTTAAACATCAAGTCAGATGCTCTGGTTGCATGATAGAGGAAGTGGTTAAATTTGTAAGTTACTATTATCCTTCCTAATAAGAAGGTTATCCTAGAAGAATATCTATATTCTCTAGAGAGAGAACAAAGCATTCTCCTCACGTCATATTCAGTAGACAAGGTTCATAATAGCTGAAAAGTAGACTACCTTAGCCTCTGCCATAGCTGGAAAAACCCCGAAGTTGCTAAGTCTTTGTTCTGGAGAGTCCAACGTAGATTCAAGAGCCCTGGGGCCACTTGTGGAGTTGTAGTTTTGTCCTGGTACCTCAGCTATGAGATGGCCACAGTGGCTAAGAAAGACAGGCCTAGCAAGGTTTGTACCAAGAATTCACCTACTTGGAGGGGCTGGGAAGATGCCTGGTAAGGGAAGAGCAAATCCAGGGGCTCAGTCAGAAACAGGAACACTGGAAGTTCTGGGGCCCAGCAGAAGAGCTAAGTTCAGAATGTGAGTTTGTTTGTAACAGGAAGGGAATGGCGTCAGCAGATCCTTGAATTTGGATTCAAGGAAAAATAATCTAAGCACTCAAAAGTACAAGGAACCCATGGCTTCAAGTTCTAGGCATATCACTAGCTATGTGACCTTAGGCAAGTTAATCTCCAATTGAGGGCTTAATTTACCATCTAGAAAATGGAGGAGTCTGATCATACCATTTTTTTCAAAACTCTTTTTCCTTTATAAGATTCTCTGATTTGAAATTGAAGGTATCAGCAAATAAAGATCATCCAACATGAATTGTTGAGTTTGGTGGTGAAAAGTCCAGAGTAGAAGAAAAGAAGTTTCAATGAAGGCAAGCAGTTTCACACAGGTGGTAAAATAGTCTTAGGATATTTATGATTGGAGGATATAAGCTGTTAATTCCAAGGAGCTATTAAAAAAAATCCTTAAAATTTCAAGTCTTCTCTACCCAACACCTATCAGATGCATGTAAATGTAACTGGCCAGGCCTGAGCCATCCTTGTCTAGTGACCAGCATAATAGAAACACCCATCTCACTGAACAGATATTAATTTCATGTAAGAACAGAAAAATTTAAAATTGTAACCTCTGATTTCTAAAATTCAAACTTTTTTCTGTGCAAGGAGAACACGATCTAAGAATCATCTAGCCTCATTAACTTCAGTTAATTTTTAATAGGTTTGTTTTAAAGCAGGAGCTTCATGGATTGCTCTGAAATAACATGGATGAGTTTCCAGCAGTTCATGAACTTCTTTGAAACTAGATGCAGAATTGCTAGTGTGTATATGACATTTTTCTGAAGGAATGGTTTGTAGGGTCCATCAGATTCTCACACTGTTCATGATTTAAGAGAGATTAAGAATCCATGATCTCCCTGGTGCATATAATAAGAATTTAATTCCTTTCTTTTGTATTCAATCATCAGTAAGATAGACATAATCTAGCTTACATTTCATATACTTCATGCCAAAGTACAGGGAAATTCTTGAAGTGTCCGTTCTCAAATAGATGGTTTTCTGAACCCTATTCAATTGTCTATACAGAGATGATTATTTCAGAAATTCTGAATGCCAGTATTTCTAGAAGTGCCCCTAGATAAACAAGATTGGGAGAAATAATTTAACCAAGTGCTGCTCAAGGAACAACTATGGATACTGAAGAACAACGGTGGGCTAAATTTATCAAGAATAATAACATTAGGATTTGTCAGGTTCTTCCTACGGGCTGGACACTGCACTAACCTCTTTGTGTGCAATACTAATTCAAACCCTTACAACAGCCTTGTGAAAAAGAAATTATTAGTTGCATTCTATAAAAGAAGAAACTGAGGCTTAGAGAGGTTGAGGAATGTAACCAAGAGCCCGCAAAGAGGTGCAAGTTCAGGCCACCTCAAACCCGAGCCATGAACTACTGTCCCACACCGCCTCCCACAGCCCTGCAAGGGAGAGGAGATGCTCATTGGCAGTCTGCCATCCCCTCAAAGAAAGGGGCGTTAAGAAGACTGATGCTGATCAAGGACCGCCATAACTCATGTGCTCCTGAGTTTTTCATAAATGGTTCCTTGTCACAAGCAGATTACTTATTATGCTACATTAAAGAAGACATAGCTGGAATGCCGGGGAATGGGAAGAGGAGAAGGAAGGAGAAAGAATGGCTCCTGGCTCAAATATGTGTAGAGGAGTACTTTCCCTTCCTGGAGGAGTGTTTATTGAACACCAGCATAATCAATCACCTTAGGAGTTTAATTAGTAGACAGACTCCTAAATCCTAATGTCAGCCACTCAGATTCCTAAGTATCGTGTGTGGCCTAGGAATCCCCATTTTTAACAAGTATCCCAGTCAGTTTTAATGCTGGTAGTACTTACACAAATTTCGAGAAACTGCTGTCAAGAAGTTTTCCTATAATCTCATCCAGCTGTGGTTGTAAAGATGCTCGATAAGGTACTGAATAGGTATATTATATTTATAGATATATACAATGAGAGACAGGAATTTCTTGGACTAATGCCTCTGACACCATTATTGTTAAGCAGTCAGTGTACCTAAGAAAGATAGCAGGCAATAACCCCAGTCTTCTGAAAAGAGAGCAAAGGAATCAGAATAATTTTTAATAGAGAACAAAAATTCTGAAGTAAAACACTGAATCCCTTTATACCCATGGAGGTATTAAACATACAGATGAGCCAATCTTCTGTTTTCATGAAAGGCTAGAGGAAGGGAAATAGGATTTCAGTGCTACATAAAACCTTTGCATAAAGCACATCAAAGAAATCCTTGACTCAGAATTGTGCAATGTTGGAAAGTCTCCAGGTTAGAAAATCTTTAATATCTAGGTGTACTTACATGTGTTTAGAGGCTGAACCAGGTAGCAAGATTTTTCACATTAGAATTTTATCTCCAGATTACTTTACCTACACTAATGAGAAGCAATGCTTAATTTCAATGTTTAATTCCATAACCCTTATTTTCTATAAACATATCCTTGATTAGCAACCTAATGCAGTTTTAAAAAATTTAATTATTGTGGATGCTGTTGAGAACTAATTAACAAAGGAAGGCTGTCAGGAATGAGATGCACTATTGTTAGCAGCTCCTTTTCATTTCTGAAATGCAATCACACAAATGAAGAATAACTCTGTTAGGAAAACAAGCTTAATTTTCCTAATTGCATGACAGTGAAGCTCCCTTGAATATTTTGCAAAGAATCGGTAAAAGAAAATAAAAATAATAAAACCTGCAACTAAATATAAATGTTCTGCTATAGAAAGTCTATGCTTTGTGTTTGATTATTATAACCCTGCCTTCCTTAATACCTCCCTAGTACACTTCCTCTTCCCAACTTCCATATACACACCTGCTCTCACTGATGGTCCAAATGGGAAATTGATGTGTTTCCCATTGACCACATCGATAAGAGGCTTTTACCTAAAACTTCCTTTAAAAAAACTGGAAGGAAGCAAGAATTTTAATAAGATGCTTCATAGAACAGAATTCGTTTCTGCATTGAGAAAATAGCCACTTCTGCTAAGTTAGTTAATTATTCCTTAATGTGGGTTGGCCAACATGGAAACACAATCTAAATGAAGTATTTATGATATTGGACAGATAGGAGGTCTGAATTGTAAAGAATTCTGAAGATGATCATACTCAACCCTCTCGTCTCACAGAGGAGTCACCTCAGGCCCAGGGAAATGAAGTGACTTGCTGAAGATCACATAGGTCTTTGGCAGGAAATGGTTTGATGTGCTTTCTGTTACTCCCTATTCTGACCTCATGATTTGAAATAACTTCTAATTGTCTGAATTGGTTATATGCCTGTATGCTTTCTTCCTACTTCTATTATTTTAGCTTTGACATAGAATTGGCTAGACAGTTTTTTGACATATAAATATAAAAATCATGTCCCACCCATAGATATTTTGATATAATACGTTTAGGGTGGGATTTAGGAATTTTCACTATTTACAAGTGTAACAGGTAATTATGATGCAAGTGGTCTGGGACCTATAAGAATCACTGACCTATAGTCTCTATGCACTCCATCAGTCATTCCCCAGAGTTAATTGTTATGTTTATCAGGAGCTGAGAGGAAAGAGAGAACTAAGCTGCCAGGTATCAGAGTAGCCTATTAAAGCAAAAAATCAGAAATCAAAGAGTTAAGCCTTTAATTGTTTACTACAATGTTTTAAGCAAGAGTCAAAAATCAGAGAAAATGCTGACTCCCCTGTTCCATTTTCCCCCATGGAAGAGTGCACCAGCTGAGGAGGAGGTGAAGTAGCAGTAGACATGGGGGTCATGTCACTGTTGAGGGAACCCCAACCTAAGGCCCTGCTAGTCTTATTGACTCTAGGGTAGGGGTGGGGCAAGAGTGAAGGCTGAAAAGAAGGCACTGGGTACTGAGTCAGAGTGGGTAAAAGTGTCTTCAAGGTTTCCTCCTCCCTCCCCCATAAGGAGGCCTTGGGCAGAGGGAGACACGTAGAGAAGACCTCTATCCCCCACCTCAGATAAGGAGACCTAGGAATGAAGGCACAAAGGGTGGGCATATAAACATGGGAAGAGCTTGACTGGGTAAGGGGCCTAAGTCCTTGATGACAACTCCTTCCAGAGACCACAATGCATGGGCTGTGCATCCAGGCTGGTGTGGGGAGGGCAGTTTCCCCATAAAGCCTGCCAGGTAGAGCCTTTGTCATGCCTCTAAAGAGATCTGAAAATCACATGTGGGATTTTAACCAAGAACCAGACTCCTCAATGTTTAAAAAGGTATGCTGCCTCTTTCTTGTCACCAGGGGATTGATTAACCAGTACATTTTGGGCTCTGGGGAAAGATAGCAAATTGAGCCAGATTCCCCTGATGGTTGTTACACAACTTAGTGCTAAGATGGAAAACCTAAAGACTACACACTTGGGTATTTATTTGTTAAATAACACTTGATTGGCTTGATAGAAACAACACAGGTCTCAAAGCTAAGGAAAAACTTGTGATCTTGGAAGAATCTAATGACTAATAGCAATAAGTTTTTAAAATTATTGGGGCCACCTAACACTTAGGCACATTCAATCATTCAACCAACCAATGTTTAATTCAGCATATACCCTAGGCCTGGCATTCTTCTGAATGGTACACATTGGAGAATTAGATAGATAAAAATCCCAGCCCTTCTTACAGCTATTTCTAGCAAGGGAGACAGACATTAATAAAATACAAAACAGATGAGTTGCACAGTATGTTAGAAGGTGATAAGTACTATAAAAGAAAAAAGGAACCAGGATAAGGGAGCTCAGTAGTTTGTGAGGAGAACTGAAATTTTAAATAGAGTGATCTGGGAAGGCTGCATCTTCATTTTAATGGACCCAACATTCCCAAATATGTCTGATGTATCTTACAATGCAGATAAATTAATCTTACCAAAACTTCTGATTATACCATTTCCTTGCTCAAAAATCCTTGATTCCCCATTGCCCAGGGAGTAAAGTATAAGCTCCTTTTCCTGGTGTGCAAGGTCTTCACTATCTGGCTCAGTACTCTATCAACTCTTGCCTGCTCCCACCAACCAGATTACTCACTGTACTCTGGACACAGCCTGCACTTTCCGCCTTGTAGGTTTTGTTCTCTTGCCCCAACCCTTTTCCATCTCTCCACTCCCTGACATTCTACCCAATCTTCAAAATTCAGACAGAACACTTCCTTCCAGCAAAGCTTTCCCAGATCTTCCATCCCCAGAGCTCTTCCTCCTCTAATTCCTGTAATACATGACTCCATGAATACTGCATTCAGTAGATACATTAGAGTTATACAAAGACTTAGTTCCTTTGCTGGATTGTAATCTTCCTAAAGACAGGAACCACCTCCTTTGATATCCTTAAAGTATTCAGCATAGTACCTTGCAAGAGTGATCTCAAGTAGCTAAGAGTTTCTTGACAATTTGTTTGTTTTAAATTTTAATTCCAGCATAGTTAACATACCATGTTATATGAGTTTCAGGTGTGAAATATAGTGATTCGACAGCTCTATGTACTACTCAGTGCTCATCAAGATAAGGATACTCTTAATTTTGATATATAAGGAAAAGAGGCAAAAGTATTTAAGGATAGGTAACCAGACTGTGTCTTTAAAATCTGACTCTCCCTAAGAAAAATTCAAGGCCTCATCAGGGTACATAAGGTTGAAAGTGCCAAGGCTGTTAATAGACAGCAGAAGACTGAAGACATGAAGGAAGTGTTGTCATTTAAAATTTTTGTTCCACTTAAATTTAAGTAATTAAAATCAGGGACCAAATCCCACATTTCTACTCTATTGAAGACCAAATTTTACTCACAGTAGGAGCTTAACTTAGATGGGAGAAGTTTTCAGTACTGTATTTTAAATTCTGAATGAAAAGACATTCCAAAAGAAATACATACCAGAATTATGTAAGTATACTTGCAAAAGGCACTTCATTATCTGCAAATAGAAGATGCTTGTTTTTAACACTTACTTGCACAAGGAAACATAATTTTGTCCCTGAAAAATATTCTGGGTCACTTCTCCTCCAGTCCAAATCTCACCTGGCGAGACATGCAACACTTGGTTGTCTGGACCTCTGAGTATGACCCACTGGCCAATAACCCTGGGTGGAAAAAGAATGGAGCAGGCTTGATGGTGAATAGTCGATTTGGATTTGGGTTGCTAAATGCCAAAGCTCTGGTGGATTTGGCTGATCCCAGGACCTGGACCAGTGTGCCTGAGAAGAAAGAGTGTGTGGTAAAGGACAATGACTTTGAGCCCAGGTAAGTATCTTCAGGAATTTTAAAGGAATGTGTGCCCATGGCAATATTTGATTATAACGTTTGTCACTCTGCCTAATTTTTTTCTCACCTACTCTTCTGAAGTAGATGGAGATAGCATTTGCCATAGTTCCCTGTGGGTCCATGGGAATCAATGAGAGTTGGGAAATCTGCAAATCATGTTGGCATATTTCCATTTTCCATTTCCTGGCCTATCTATATTCAGTTCAAGATGTATCATTGTTTTATATATTACTAAGAAAAATCACTGTCAAACTATTACCAATGATCAGTTGTAAGATTAATCCCAAATTCAAAGATGTTATGGTAATTTTTTCAAAAAATGCATCTTAGAATTGATTAAATGTAGTACTTGTCAACCAGTATTATCCAAAACCTATTTCCATAAGAGCCTCACTTCATGCCACAGTACTGTGTGATTCATGATTTCTCTTTTGTGAAGGATCCTCTATCATACTGCTTTTACAGAGACTATATCCAGCCTACCAGATCTGGCCAAAGAAGCAGAATCTGGAATAATTGTTTTGTTAATTCTATCAAGGCAACCATAATTTTACTAAAGACCCACTCACACAAAATATCTGAGGGTGGGAGCCCTGGGGAACATTCATTATGGAGATAGTATCATTTCTTAAGAGGGTCAATTGGAGTAATAATGGACCACTTTTTGATGGGCCCAAGGCAAACCTGGCTGAATTCAATTCCACAGCAAAAAGCATTGTATTCTTGTATCTGTGCTCCTTACCATATTCTTTTCTATTTTATCTTATTGTGGTAAGAACACTTAACATGAGATCTACCCTCTTTAATTTTTAAGTGTACAACACATTATTGTTGATTCTAAGTACAGTTGTTGTATAGCTGATCTCTAGAACGTATTCATCTTAACTGAAATTTTATGCCCATTGATTAGTAACTCTCCATTTTCCCCTTCCCCTACTCCCATGCAACCACAATTCCACTTTTTGAATCTATGAATTTGACTACATTAGATACCTCACGTAAGTGGAATTATGCAGTATTTCTCTCTCTGTGGCCTGTTTATTTCACCTAGCATAATGTCTTCAAGGTTTATCCATATTATTGTACATTGAAGAATATCCTTTTTTTAAAGCCAATATTCCATTGCGTGTATATACCACATTTTCTTTATCCTTTCATCTGTTGATAGACTTTTAGGTTACTTCCACATCTTGGCATTGTGAATAGTGCTGCAATGAACATGAGATCTCTTCAAGATCCTGTTTTCAATTATTTTGGATAAATATCCAGAGGTGGTATTGCTGAATCATATGGTAGTTCTCTTTTTAATTTTTTGAGAAGCCTCTAGACTGTTTTCAATAGTGGCTGTACCACTTTGCATTCCCACCAATTGTTCAAGGGTTCCAATTTCTCCACATCTTCTCCAACACTTGTTGTCTTTTGCTTTTTTTGGTGACAGCCATCCTGACAGGTGTTTGGATTTGCATTTTCCTGATGATTAGTGAAGTTGAAAATTTTTTCATATACCTATCGGCCATTGGTATGTCTTTTTTAGAGAAATGTCTCTTTAAGTACTTGGCTCATTTTTTAGTCAGGTTATTTTTTTATTTTTTATTTTTTTGCTATTGAGCTGAGGAGTTCCTTATATACTTTATAAATTAACCCTTTATCAGATACATCATTTGCAATATTTTCTCCTGTTTTGTAGGTTGTCTTTTCATTTGGTTGATGGTTTCCTTTGCTATGCAGAAGATTTTTACCTTGACGTGTTCCCACTTGTTTTCATTGCCTGTGCTTTTGGCGTCTTAACCATGAAATCACTGCCAAGACCAATGTCATGAAGCTTCTTCCCTATGTTTTCTTCTAGACTTACAATTTCAGGTCTTATGTTTAAGTCTTTACTCCATTTTGAGTTGATTTTTGTGTACGGCATTAGATATGCCTCCGATTTCATTATTTTGCATGTGGATATCCAGTTTTCCCAACACCCTTTGCTGAAGAGACTCCTCTTTCCCCATTGAGTATTCTTGGCATCCTTGAAGATTAGTTGACCATCTATGCATGGGTATAATTCTAAGTTTAGAGAGATTCTGTTACATTGGTTTGTATGTCTGTCTTTATGCTAGTACCATACTGTTTTGATTACTGTAGTTTTGAAATATATTTTCAAATGAGGAAGTGTAATGCCTCCAGCTTTGTTCTTCTTTTTCAGGGTTGTTTTGGCTATTAGTAGTCTTCTGTGATCCATAAAAATTGTAGAATTTTTTTTTTGTATTTCTGTGAGAACCTTACATTTTTTTATACTTTAAAATTTATTTATAGCTACTTCTGAATCAGGTTCCACTCATTAACAGGGAGAGACAACAAGCTTAGTTGAGTATCTAGTCAAGACTAATGTGTACATATTTGCCTAAAATGCATAGAAGAAAAGATGTACTTTATTCAGTGATTTTTAAAAATGTATTTAGAGCCCTGAAAGGTAATGGAGAAGTTATCATTGAAATTCCAACAAGAGCTTGTGAAGGACAAGACAATGCCATCAAGTCCCTGGAACATGTGCAGTTTGAAGCAACGATTGAATATTCCCGAAGAGGAGACCTTCATGTTACACTCACTTCTGCTGCTGGTAAGCTTTTTAAAAACTTCTCAAGTTTAAATCATTTGTTTAAATTTTTAAGAGTATATTGAATGATTTTTATTTTATTTTATTTTATTTTATTATGTTAGTCACCATACAGTACATTATTAGTTTTTGATGTAGTGTTCCATGATTCATTGTTTTCGTATAACACCCAGTGCTCCATGCAATACAGGCCCTCCTTAATACCCATTACTGGGCTAACCCATCCCCCTACCTGCTTCCCCTCTAAAACCCTTAATTTGTTTCTTGGAGTCCATAGTCTCTCATGGTTCATCTCCCCCTCCAATTTCCACCCCCCTTCATTTTTCCCTTCCTTCTCCTAATGTCCTCCATGCTATTCCTTATGTTCACCAAATAAGTGAAACCATAGGATAATTGACTTTCTCTGCTTGACTTATATTGAATGATTTTTAAATCAATGATTTTCTTTTTATTTATACTACTGAGTTTCCCAGTAGATGTTTTTCAGGACTTAAAAAAATATGCTTAGTTTTCATTTTTCTTGGCATCAGAACTCTGCCCCCTCATTCCCACTGGTCCTTTGATAAGCAGAGAATGAGGTCTATTCAAATAATATCAATTAATAAACCTTTCTGGAGTTACACATTTTCAAAATGTTTTCATTTTCCCAGACCACTGATCTATCATTCATTTCTCTTAGGTAACACATTAGTGAAAGTTACTCTGATAGTTAATTAATAACACTGACAGATATATCAGATACCTCCTAGGAATCAACTGAAAAATTAGGAATTCTGATCCATGAAAGAGGACTGAGAAAACTAATAAATATTTCATGATGACATCATAAAGGCCATATGATATTATATACAGGCAATTGCCCTTTCCTGAGAAAGTACTAACTCAGATTAGATCATGGATGGGGAAGAGCTTATGAACCATAAACTATAATCCAACCAGGAAATGCTTCCTAATCCTCTTTCATGTTTTAGGATTCACCTGACTAAATTTGATTGCTATAGGCTATGTATGAGGAAGGATGAGCTCTCTTTATCATCTCCTTCGAGGATATAAACTTCCTAAAGGTTTGGACTGGACTCTTAATTTTGGAGTTATACTTTCTAGATATATTGGAGTTGGCCTGAAGTATGGGTGGAATGTTTTCTCATTGGTGGCCCTAGAGTTAACTTGACCATTTCACTTAGATATAGAGAGAGCTTGAATTTGAAAATTGAGAGTTAACAACTACTACTAGTTTCTATATGACAAGAGATTACTAAATTGATATAGCTTTATTTTTTTAGGTCTACACTGAATTATAGGCTCAGTCACCAGTTAAATTTTCAAGACTTCCTCTTAAATTTAAAAATGGTAGTTCCACTAAAATGTACTTTAGGTCTTTGACTCTATAGTTTATAAATGTATTTCTATGAGCTCTTCTTATTCAGATAAACCTTAATCAATAAATTCATTCAATATTTTGCCAAAATATTTATTGAGAATTAACTATATGCCAGGCAATATGCTAATTGTTATGGATAAAAACATTTTTTTAATGAATGTCTCTATCTTGGTCTTATACAAAAAGGGAAAATTAGGAGGGCTAATCTCTCCCATTTTTCATTTTCAATTAGCAGATGCTAGAGTATATCCTATTCTCAGAGTCGTTAGGACATTCATTAACTGATGTTTGTTGCATGAAAATAGGGACCAGCACTGTACTGTTGGCTGAAAGAGAACGGGATACATCTCCTAATGGCTTTAAGAATTGGGACTTCATGTCTGTTCACACGTGGGGAGAGAATCCCATAGGCACCTGGACTTTGCGAATTACAGACATGGTAAGTATAAATGAAAAGATAGACAACCACAGGCTCACTTTTAAACAGTTTGAAGTACTTTAAGGTTGGTATCATCAATAATCAAGGCCCTAAGGAACTCTGGTCACCCCCTAGTAAAGTAAGGAAAAGGTGTAGTGTTTCAATCTCTGCCCACTTGGCTTTATAGATTGGTTGAATTGATTGATTAAATAAATAAGCCATACTATAAGAAAGAAAAGAAGATACATTGGTTAATAATGTTACAGTGTAACAAATCCAAGTGTTCCAATGTCAGAATGCAGCCAGCCACAGGACCTGCTCAGCCACCAGAATCACCTGTACTCACAAAGATAGTTAAATGTTACAGCAGCTTTGCTACTACATTCTGCTGGGGTCACATGAAGAAACTCACGAATATTTACTGCGGTGGCTGTTTACTTGTTAGACAAGATGTGTTATTTAATATGACTTATTTGTCTTGTTTTTTTGTTATGAAACAAACTGAAAAGCATTTCTCATTTCTCTTCCACTCTGTTTACTAATACTCTTTGGTATCTTTCTAAAATTGTAACTCACAGTGACAAAAATAGAGTAAGGATTGTCTGAACAAAAAGCCAAAAACATCTGAATTATCTACTTTTGATCATTTCTCCAGCATTTTCTACAGGCTAAGCACATAAATGAATAGGGTTCTGGATCTTCCCAAGATAGAAGTGTTACAAGTATCAGCACCAGATTTCAAAGTCCATATAACTATTTAAAAAGAATTTATTTTAAATTCCTGAAGATTTCCATTAAATTAATACAAGTTCTATAGTCATTGTTCCCTTTTTAATTTGAGAATAGCTTTCTCCTAAAGACTGCTAAAATTGTGATTTAGAACCAGAATCTGTAAAATTCCTGCTTCCCTAAGGAGAGCAAGAAATCGTTCTTAGGAAGTGGTCCTATTCTTGAACTTGACCTCTGTTCTTTAACTCAACGTTTTTAAGGTTTATTTATTTATTTTAGACAGAATGAGCGAGCAGGAGTAGGGGGGTGCAGAGGGAGAGGAAGACAGAATTTCAAGCAGACTCCTCACTGAGCACGGAGCCCATTGCAGGGCTCCATCTCACCATCTTGAGATCATGACCTAAGCCAAAACCAAGAGTTAGATGCTTAACTGACTGCGCCACCCAGGCACCCCAACTCAATTTTTAAGAAAACTAAGAAAATCTGTTTATCAAGATGAGACTACTTTATATCAAGTCTGTAAAATCTGACTCTACACTTCTGGATTTTTTTTTTTTAGATATTTTACATTTCAGCATATTATTTTTAGCATAATTGTTGAGTGTGAAAATTATTACTCTGCCCATAAATATACAGCTTTCAAGGGCTGGTTAATACTGAAAGCTATTCACAGGACTCTGTAGAGGCTTTTTTCCCCCCATTGGAATGTTTCTACAAGTTGATAATTATTAAATATCATTCTATTTATAGAAGGTACAACTTTCCAAGAACAGAATAGAACATTCATATAGAGTTTTGCTTTTTTAATCAAATGAAGCAAATAATCAGGCTTTAAATCCTTAAACCTGTAAACTGCCATTTTCATGGCAACAGTGAATCCAGTGACTTGCTTCTTTGTACATAGTGCTCTACCCATGCAATGTGCTGAATTTTTAAATTAGATTTTATAGTTATTCCTACAGAGTTTGATGTTTCTTAGAACACACCCTGAAATTATGTGTATGCTTATTCATTAGTCTGGAAGAATGCAAAATGAAGGAAGAATTGTCAACTGGAAGCTGATTTTGCATGGGACCTCTTCTCAGCCAGAACACATGAAACAGCCTCGTGTGTACACATCCTACAACACTGTTCAAAATGACAGAAGAGGGGTGGAGAAGATGGTGGATCCAGGGCAGGTCTGTGTGGCTCTGTTCTTGAGTGTTCTTGGCACACTCTTTCTTTGAACCATAGTCAAAATGTAGTGAGGGGAGCTAGATCTAACTTTCAAGCAGGGAGCGAGTCAAGCATGGGTGGGGAAGAAAGGGAAGGGAGTGCTAAACTATTTTCCGTAAAAGTCTGATATTTTTAAGTTCATTCTCTTGTCCAGCATTTAGAAACTTAAATTACTGAATTCAAAATTATGAAATTCTCTAACATGACTTTTCTCCATTTATGACATAACAAATTGTAAAGCCAGCTCTCTTTATGCACGATCACGCATGCCCAACGTCTGTATTATACTTAGGTTTTAAGTATTTTTTTTTTACATTGTCTCATTTAATCAATGATCCCTGTAACCTAGAGAAGACAGGCATTAGTATGCTCATTTTCCAGAAAGAAAACCAAGGCTCAAGTGACCAAGTTCCTGTAAACTTCTGTTTACTAATTCCTTAACGAACCTTTCTTGGCAGCTCTGAGGGAAGCTACTGAATCACAATTTCTCAGAGAAAATTTCATAGGATATCTAGTCAGTCATTCCCATTCCTGTGTCTCAGCCCACTGAGGTTATGGGCTTCTCCCTTATCAGACACTGGGCAGGCACCCCATTTTCTTTAGCTCTTAATCCCCCAGCATCTAGCACAGTGCCTCAGATGTAGGAGGTAGGTTATCAGAATTCCCAGAATGAGCTTTCCTGACATCTGACTCAGTGACGGGTATTTTGGAAGACACAAAGACATAAAATTTATTTAAGAAACTTCTAAACTAGCTTTGTGAAGTCCTCAGCTCAGATTCTGGCTCCATTTATATTCTGCAAAGTAGCTTCCCCCCCGGGGGCCCCACCCAAGGGCCTCTCTTCACTATCCCAGAGGCAAGTTGACTTGATGAGTATTTCTCCCTCCAAGAATCCTTAAGGGCTATTAATAAGACCCTGTAGTTGTGAAAATGTTGAATACTTCCACGATGGTTGACAAAGAGCTGCTTCTCCACTGTCTCCAGTTCTGCCCTACCCGGTTCATCACCCTCGTCTCTCCCAAGACCTCTTTTTAAAACTCAGAGGCTGAAAGGGTAGCTCCTGACAGAGCAAGGGGCCTCCAGGAAACTTCTTGCACATGAAGCATGGTTAGTGCCTTCTGTGTGACTTATTAAATATTTTAATATCAGCTTCCTCCCAAAACATGGGCAGGGAGGAAAGGGAGTGGGAAAGGTCAGCTATTTACTTTTCATAAGATGAAGCTATATTATTTTTAAATTTTTTTCTTTCATCCAAAATTTATCAACTTACAGAATTCAAATTTATTAAATTCCCTAAAATGAATTCTACTATAGCAGGTGGACAAGTGAAGGAGAGCAATACATACATCATCTCATTCAGTCTTCAAAACCACCAGACATGAAAGTATTCTTGTCCCCATTTTATAGGCGAAGTTCAGGGAGATAAAACAGGTGTCAGGGGTACATCAGTAAGTATAAAAATGAGGACCGAACCCCGAGTTAGGATGTTTCTTAGGCCTCACGCTCTCTCTGCTTCTCCAACAGTCTCCCAAGGAGTAGGCAGTGGGCATGGAATGCATCTGGCTTGCTTGGCTCTAAAGAGGAATCTTCTTTCTTTTGCCGGTGGCATTCTGTGTTTTAGGAGCAGCCCACACAAGAGAACCTGAAAAAGAGCCCCCTCACATCAAAAAGCCCCAGTGGCGGCAGTTCAGGGAGCAGAAGGGATGAGCTGGTGAAGGCAGCCCCATCTGAGGCCATGCTGAGACTCCTACAAAGTGCTTTCAGCAAAAACTCATCCCCAAAGCAATCACCAAAGAAGTCTCCAAGTGCAAAGCTCCATATCCCTTATGAAAATTTCTATGAAGCCCTGGAAAAGCTGAACAAGCCTTCCCAGCTTAAAGACTCCGAGGACAGTTTATATAACGACTATGTTGATGTTTTCTATAACACAAAACCTTACAAGCACAGAGATGACCGGCTGCTGCAGGCATTGGTGGACATTCTGAGGGAAGAAAATTGACATCAGTGTGTGGTCCTGAGTTGGAAATATTCATGCTTCCTCCTTCCCCTTAGATTTTTGCCTGTGTCTGAAGTGGTTGTTTTGGCCATTGGTTCTTATGCTTATAATATCCTTTTGTGGTACTTTTGCTTTTGCTCCCCAAACTAGACATGTGAAAGGGATGAGCTCAGGTCGAAAATTCCACTTCCTGAATTGATCATGACTCCTTCAAAACACATCTTCCCTGCATGCACAAGTGAAATGTTTTGTTCTTTCTGGAGCCACAATTCATTTCGCTTGTGGTCCTCACGCCACACTAGAATGCTTCCTTGAACCCTCCCATTTCATTTCTCAAAAGAAAAGGCATCCCCCAGGTCAGAGATTCATTTGAAGAAGTAATCTGCAAAGATTGAGAGCAAAGAAAACTGCTCCTATAACTTGTCTCCTGTCTTTGCCACGTGGTTCTTTGAGTTGTGAAGCCCAACAGCGTTGGAAAGTTTCTAATGAAAGAGTTTCAATTAGACCCATATCCTTGGCTTTTCTACCCCCTAGTACTGCTCATTCAGGGAGTGGCCATTTGGTCATTTTGGGGAGAAGCTGAGTCACTGAGATCCAGAAACAGTCCTCCAAATCTGTGTTACGTGGTACGAGCAGTTTTAGACCATTTTTCTTGGCTTGGTGTGCTGTGTAGAGGCCTACTGTGACTCTGAAGGTGACCAGGACTTGTGTGTGCTTTGGTCTTGCTCCCTTTCCCCTTATGAAGGTTTTTGTTACCTATTTCCTTTCTCAGCCACAAGCTGAATACTGAGAGAACTAATTCATATTACTTTCTTAGAATAAAACTTATACTTGGGACTTGGCAAATTCCTAGTCATATTTTTTCAACGATACTAACAGGAAACCACTCATGACACAGAGAACCAACGTAAACAGGAAAATATTTATAATGGAGAGAGCCAAGGGAAGATTTTGTTGGTTTTTTAAACTGTATTCATTCGAACAGGTTTTTCTGGATCTTTAAAACTAAGTGTTCATTCCTTACCACTAACAGCACTTTCCCAATGTTACAACTGATAGCATTCAAATATTTACCCAATTGCTTCCAGGATTCAACTCAAGAGGACACGAACTGGCAGTCCACAGGCCCCATTTGTCCCTCAGGCAGATTTTGTTTGGCATGTCAAATGATTTAAAAATATGAGTGATTACTGAAAATATGAAATTTCACATCAAACTTGATTCTCAGACCCATTTTCTCTCCTGGCAACAGTTGGCTAATGTTGAATAGCGTTGAAATCTGCCCAGCTAGATTTGAGTGCAAGGTCCCTAAGGTGTCCTGCTCCGTGTTGCTCACAGTGGCTACCTTACCGGTCAGCACCCAACGAAAATTTCATTTTTTGCCACTGCTGCACGAAACAACACAAAGTGTAAATGCATTCAGGAAACAAACAAACAAACAAACAAACATCTACTTCTTTCAGGTAGGATATGTACAACCAATAACTATGAGAACTTGCCATGATCCAGTTAATTTATAGGTGGGGAAATATGGTATTTGAGACCCCAGAAAGTACCTCTGAAATCTAGCTTGATATATTTGTTTCATCTCGCCTCCCCTTGATGCCATTTATACTGAATTCATCAACTGCTAACCCCTAGCTTCCGAATTTCTAGGCGCTCACAAAGGTTCCAGTCATCTACAATGTCGGCATTCTCCCATTGCGTTTGCTGTTTGTAATTCTTCCCTAAAGTTGGAAGTTCAGAAAACCACACATGAACTAGACCAGAAAGAGAACACTAGAGTCTGTCAACTTGCTATGGCTTGAAGTGTGGTGGGTAAGACCAAGTTTCCCCTCCTAGCCTACAATTTGTATTTGTGCACAAATGAACTATTTGCAGAGCAATCCCCAAGATGCTTTGAGGATGTTCTCCTAAAACAACTGCAGTGTCACTCTATCCTTAGAAGTTCCACATGTTGTTTGATACAGAGTGTTGGACAGAATTTTGAAAACTGCAGCACATCAAAAAAGTATTAAAGCCAAAAAGGATCAGAGATTTATTAGATAAGTTGTCAACTAAAAAACAAAGCTAAGGCCCAGAGAGGCCAATGAATGGTAATAAACAAAAACTCATCGTTTCCCCTTTCCTACTCTCATGCTCACTGTATGAAGCTTTCTTTTTTATCCTTCTAACAGTATCTATTCCTGGTTGAAACCCCAACCAACTCATTGGACTGTAGCCAAAGGTTCACTCTAGAGAAGCTTTAATATTTAAATAAAGTCACATTTGAATGTTTCCAACCTGGAGTATATTGTTCAGACATAAAATATTTTTGTCAGTCTTTCTTAGTGCCTGTGTGGATTTTTGTGAAAATGTAAAAGAGGAAACTTACATAATATTTCCCTCAGAATTTTAAACTCTATTTTCTTTACAGGTATTTATAATGTACCGATGCTTTTATCAGAATTTTAAAAGGCATAATAAATTATATTAAAGAACCAAAAATTTCCTCAGAATAAGAAAGTTTCATCCAATAAAATATTTTTGAAAGGCATGTTCCTCTATCAGTGAAAAAAAAAGTATAATATGTATATGTGTTGTGATATTAAAAGTGAAATTTGTCTAATAGCCTAATACAATGTGTAGCTGAGTTTAACATGTGTGGTCTTAGCATCTTTAAGGGAACTCCCACATTATACACTTGATGTATTAACCAGAATATGTAAAATATGCTTATACATCAGAAGAATAAATGGTTTCTCACTAAGTCAAAAAGGAAAAAAGTTCATGTTTCCAACAGAGGTCTCCTCTTACCGTGTTTCCCAAATGAACTGTAAAAAAAGAAAAGTTGAAAGTTTATATTAAGATGTTCCTTTTGAGAAAAATGGGCTTTCTCAGAGGCAATTTAAGAATTTACCTTAATAAGTATGTTTCATTTTCCTTCATAGCTCAGTCTTTTACTTTTTTCAGAACATTCAAACTTGTATGACTGAGCCTTCACTGAAGTGTTGAGGAAAAAAAGAAAAACGAAAACTAAAGGGATTGACTATGTGTGAGAGAAAGGACTTGCAACAATTCCTCAAAAATGACTTATTTAAAGGCCAGATACAGCAGCTCGACATTCAACTCTCCCTGGAGGTCACTTCATTAGAAATTTCCAACTTCCAACTTTGATCTCCCATCCTCGGGCCCACATTCCTCTCTTGCTTCAAACCTCCATCACTGGAATGTCCACCCTGCTACTTCAGAATCTGACCTCTTCCTCCCAGGGGGGTTGGTTTTTCCCCAGACTCCATTCCTTTCTCCCAAATCATAAATACTCAAACTAAATGATTTTTCAAGAATTCCAGAAGAACGGTTCTATCTGGCTTTTGTCCTTGAAATCCAGCCATCTTCAAAGTCTACCCACTACGAGGGCTGAAGATAGCTATTTTCTTCTGAATGCCCATGAGGTAACTTTTACATTAGCCATGTGCAGGCTGCAAGTACAAATCCAAATATATACTAAGATAAATGTTAATTCTTAAATACAATTTCAAATCCATAAGGAAGAAGAGTAAGGTTTCCCTAACTGCCTCCTAATTTTTCAAGGCTATAGTACTAATACATATGATGATGATAATGATTTACTCGACCCCACACAGCCCCTGCAGACAGAGTGTAGTTTCCTGGGCCATCTAGGTTGAGCTTGACCCTGTGATTTGTTTTGGCCAATGGACATGATGCAAGCAAAGACCTTCGATGTGCTTACACAGTTTGGCTTGGCTGTTGCTTTCCAGTGTCCTAGTGCTGTGAGAGGAGTATATGCCCCAGGGAATTACTGCTCCAACAGCCTGTTTCCAGAACAAATGTATATGGAGCAGACCCACATTATGCAACCAAATCCAGCCAATTCACAGCACTCAACAGAGCGGTCCAGATGAGGGCTGCCTAAATAAGTTGAACTTGTCACTATGGCAACTTAGGAGAATGAAAATAAATACTTGAGTCTTGAGGTAGTTTGTCATGCAGCCTTACTGAGCCAACAAAACTGACTAATACAATAAAAGTTCCATTTGTTTATTCTATTACCAATACCATCCCTCTCTTTCAAATTGTGCCTTCCTGAGTCTAGAGCACACACACAAAAAAGAGCTAACATTAAATCATACACCTCTGAATGCTGATCCCATAACTAAACAAAGACCTTGCCCAAACTTTGAAATTTTCATTTTTAAAAGGTATGCCTTAGCTTACCTTAGTTCATCCTGAAATCAGAGCTAAGATAATGAATGACTTTTGTACGGGTAATTTATTTAGGAGATAATAGTAGAGAGAAGTGACTCACACATACCTGAGACTTGCATGAAGTGACACTGATCAGCCCAGGACCTCACAAAGACTAGAACTGATGTTTCAACTGATAATGGCATTGGTAGAAGGTAATTCAGAACCAACACCTGTGCTCTCCTTACTCCCCCATTCCTTCACCATCCAATGTCTTGATGCTTCCATTATGCTCTCTCAGAATTTAGATGCAACCTCAGGGCAAGGAAAAAAACCTTGATTGGCTCAAATCAAGTTTACACTACTTATTAGAAAGGCAATACTTAATAGAAACAAAGATCTCTTATAAAAAAAAATGAAGTTATTTTTCCTCACCTGGGTTTTGGCTTGCAGTCTGTGTATTTGTATAGTCTGCATTACCTGAATATTGCTATATATAGATATTATGAAAGCGTTACTCTATCATCAATGTATGACAAGGAATTGACTATAGTTATTAGTCATGGCATGTCTGAGGGAAGCAGAAATCACTTCCCTGTTTTCTTTTCTTTTTTAAAAAAGATTTTATTTATTTATGAGACAGAGAGAGCACGAGCCGGGGGACAGAGGGAGAGGGAGAAGCAGACTCCGCCCTGGGCTGGGAGCCCGACGTAGGGCTCGATCCCAGGATGCTGGGATCATGACCTGAGCTGAGGGCAGACATTTAACCAACTGAGCCACCCAGATGCCCCACATCATCACTTCTTTTCCAGACACCACCAGGGCCCAGCCCAAAACTCATTCTTGGAGAGGGTCTAGCACTCTCCCTACTTCATGCACAATTTTCAGTTTACAGCAGGTGTCACTTGGGTGTTCCACAGTAGTGTGCCAGTTTGTTTTGGAAGATGTAGCACTTTTTGGATAGTACAAATTTTGAACCAAAATTTTTAAGGGACTTGAAGTGAAAGAGAAATGTTGGACTATTTCAAGTTATCTTACCAGAGAGAACCAGAATGAAGAAAACCCACTGGTGAGATCTTATCTTTTCCAACAGAGTTCTAACAGGTGGATCAAGCCCACCTTGTTTATCTGAACATTCACTCCGTGGCTCTGATCATTCCTCACTAGCATCTACTACACATGAATGAATGGTCCTGAATCTGCTGCCACTTGGCTAATGATGTTCTATTTACTTACAGAAACCAAAAGGCCATCAGCCTTAAGCTTATCAATTGATTGATGTAAATGATATTGTTCTAATCATTAAAGGCCCCCCCAAAAGTCTGAAAATGTAACACCAACACAAAGTGGCTAGAGGTGTGGGCCCTAGAGCCAGCCACAAGTGAATCTGAATCCTGGCTCTCTCATCTCCCAGTTGTGTGCCCTTGAACAGGTTACTTCATCTCACTGGGCCTTATTTCCTCATCTATAACAAAGAAGTCTACCACTTAGAGGTTTGCTATTAGGATTGAATAAGACAGTGCAGATAAATAATTTAGTGCAGCTCCTAGACCTAGTAAAAGTTCAGTAAATGTTAGTTTTTATTATTAGTGAGACTGCTGCTCTTATTATTGTAGTGTCATGAAAAGAAAATGGACTTTAGAGCCAAACAGATTCAAATTTGTAGCTCTTATCTACAAATTCAATACAAAAGAAAATATTGGCATCAGTGAAAAAGGCAGGAATACCATCACTGGTCAAGATGGTGTTGCTTGGGCAACTGTCATTCCAATGCGAAACTTCTCCTAAGGTCACACTGGAATCCATTTAATAGTAGCAATGTAGAGTGACTGCAATGACAAGAGAGTGCTCAGTGACAGTTGGCACTAAAAGAGCAGTTACCCTAGGCCAGGAAAAGCCAGAGCTGAAAAGTAAAGAGCAAGGAGGTATCAAGAAAAGGAAGTCATTTGTTTAATTTTGTCTTATTTTCAATCTTTTTCTTGTGTAATGAGTTGGAGTATCAGTTTTCAAATATAAACATTTTATCCAGCATTGAGAAGTATTGATATCAAACAATGAAAAGTAATGAGTTCTTAACTATATTCACAGCACAGTACACTTTCTAACCGAATTCTCTTAAAGATTATAAAACAAATAGGAGATAAATAATGTTATTGTCCCTGAATTGTAGAAAAGAAAGTTGAGGCAATGAGAGGTAATGTGGTT